CGACAACATCGAGCACAAACGATCGTGGTAAAAGCTCGGTGAAGCGGCCCAGATGGTGGCCAAGACCGGATTGACGGTCAGGAAGCTTTTACTGTGGGTTGGATGGGATTAGCGAGGAATCATCTACTTCGAGCTGCTCCCCTATGGCCACACGTTCAATTTGGCCCGCTTGAAGCCAGCACTCATCCAGAAGAGGTCATGTTTGATCAACAGAGGTCGAATTGTGTTCCATCAGCACAACGCCAGGCCACACACGTCTTTGGTGACGCGCTAGAAGCTCCAGGAGCTCGGATGCGAGGTCCTAATGTACCCACCTTATAGTTCGTACCTGCCTTCAAGTGATTACCATCTGTTCCTGTCCATGGCGAACGCGCTTAATGGTGAGAAGTTGGCCTCAAGAGAGGCTTGTGAAAATTGGCTCTCCGAGTTTTTTGCCAATAGGGACGCAGCCTTCTACGAGAGGGGTATATTGAAATTGGCAGCTCGTTGGCAAGAAGTTTGCGAACAATACACAAAGTTATCAAATTTTGAAAAATTAATAAAATAAAACCGAACGAACATTTTACTTGAGCTAATATATGAAATATTGTTTATAAAAACTTTCGAAGATCATGCGTCAAATGCTCCGTAATTCATTGTTGCATAAACTGGAACTGGACTTGTGTTGGCGCATTATTCCATAGGTTTGTAATTTAACAATCTGTTTGTTATCTGTTAGGGTCAGATAGATCGAACGACAGTAACATATTGCTCAAATTTGAACTAGAATGGGATTAAAATCCCACGAACCCACCAGATAGGTTCAACATGTGTTGTAAAAATATGCAATAAAAGCGAATTAATATTTTAGCCTAAAATTCATACATTCATGAAGACTACACATAATTTTTAATTCAATATGGGCCAATTATTTTTTTTTTAAGATATACATCGAGTGTCATAGACTCGGATCGGATAAGATTTAACTGTTAGGTGAAGCTGCATCTAAATTTATTATATGTTTGTTACTATTAATAAAAGTATTATAGCGCTTATTAAAAACCATTTTTTATTGCTATTTACCAAATTGCTCTACTTTTGTTACTAACGAAGCTTTTTGCCAAAATTTTGATGAAAAATAGTATAGTTGAGTTCACTAACGATTTCATGTCTTTTTATAATAAATCTTTGCAGTTGAAGCTGTTGAAGTTGATGCCTAATGATTTATGCCTGTTTTTGATATGGACTTTACGTAAATTTATATTGAAAATTGCGTTAAAAACTTGTTTACTTGTGAACATAATTTTAGTTTATAAAATATATGTATATGTAAATAAAAGGAAATGAATAACAGCCAAAATTTGTGCTAATGAAATTCTCGAACAGTTGCAAAAAAAAAATTTTGTAGCTCTAAATATATGAAAAAAGGTTAAAAGTATGGATTTTTAAATAACATGCATATTATTGCACAAATAGAATATTCAATAATCATAGTTTTTTATTCCTAAAAGTTTATGAGGTTGGATGATATGAGACATTTTTTGTCGCATCAGTGCAAAGATGATCAGTGTGGACGAAATCGATATTTGGTGGTATTTTTTTTCTATTCTCCTGACAATAAATATTATTTTGCCTAGCTAACAATTATATATAACAACATTAATATTACTTACATACATATATTATATGTATATATGTGATTTGTAGATACATAAGCGTATGTTGTTCAAATTAATATCGAAATCAATACAGAGTAAACTGATAATCAATGCTTTTCGGCACAAATTAAACGACAATGACGGTTCGACAGGACGTGAGCTGACTGTTCGAAAAATATGGAAACTCGAGAATAGCCTAACGGGCTTCTAGCGATGCCTTGATATACCTATATACCTATGGAATAGCGAATATTGGCAAGTAGTGTAAGTTTATGTTCAGTACAGCCAAATCACAGTTGTTAAGTTGGTAAAGTAAACTAAAATAAAAATTAAAATTAAAATAAAAATAAAAAAGACATTAGGAAAATTCGTAAGTGCGAAAATTAAGGTTTAGACGCACTTTTTTTTTGCCGATTTTCAAGTAAATCCTAGAATCGATCGTCTTTCAACCAATCACTAATAAACTAAATAAAATTATAAGACTTGACCGGACCGGCTATTCCTTCAAAACTTTGATCTTCGATTTCATTCCATATATACATATACTCTTATATATGGAATTCGACCCTTGGAATGTTAAATAAAAATCATCAAATACGTTGTAGAGCTTCCATATTTCACAAACGTTATTATTTACTCAATAACTAACATTTTGCTTTACTATACACAGTAACCAGCCATATAAATACGATTTCTCGAATACAGCTAGAAAGTTTTATTGAAATTTTTCTCAATATCAGACATTCAATTCACGCGCTATGGAACATGCTGTAGGTATAGATCTCTCCCTTTTCAGTTACCTTTTCCGGAACAAAAGTGGTTATGTAATGTAAAAAGATGTCTATCTATAATAATAATTTTCAAGCAAACAAAACCTAGGTTCCTGGTACCAAAAAAAGAGTGCTATGAATGTTCCTGTATACAAGAAGTTCTAGCAACCCATATGTTTTTGGTGTAAGAGATTTCTGAGAGAGATATACCTCACATTACAATGAAGCTAAATTCATCAAACCAACCCAACCAAAAGCTAGTCAGAACCCTTCGAGCGGCCGATGGATTTTCATGACGAGCCTTTATTTCATGTCAGAAAAACATTCCGAGGGGCCACTGCATTTAGAAAATTTCATTTTCTGTAATAAAAAGCATAAATTTTATATATGTATATACTACCAACAGAGACATACATATAAGTATACGATTTGGGAAGGTCTGAACTGTTGGAAGTTTCTTTCAGATCATATAATATATTTATATGAATCTGTGCATGTGTATATGTTTGTATGCTAATCAAACCAATTTAAATAATATTGACTTTCGCTGATATTTTGGTGGGAAGTTAGTTCCGTTGTATCGAGTGGCCAAGGATGGTTTGGTAATCTCAGTTCGTATGATACGACATGCTTTTTATTTTGAGATCTGTAGATCTCTGTGAAGTTGGTCATTTGAAACGTAAAAGGAAGATTTGGCAATCATTCTGAGAGCATTCACTTCAAATCTTTAGGGAACTTTTATGTTAGAGTTGGCTACAGTACCTCACTGCTCTATGCCATAAGTCGTAATTGGTTATAAAGTATATAAACAATTTAATTTGGTCAGAGAATCGCGAATCGCGGTTTAAGAGAGTCAATAAAAATGTTCGTTTTCCATGAGCTTTTTTGAGCTTTCTATTAAAACTTTTTCTAAGATATTTAGCGTCATTGCTTCGAGGTATGTATACATGATTCAGTGTGAAGAGTGGACAGATTTTTTTTCAGCTCAAATATAATTTGAGCACACTTAGTTTTATTATCCTCGATTCGTCATTTTAACCGCCCCATTTTATGAATTTAGTAGTATAAGTTTTTAAGCTGAAAACTTGAAGTTTTGGTTTTGAGAAAACGTGAATTTTCGGTTAGTTCAATATAAATATAAACTTATGTATATGTAAGAAGGAAATACTGTTGTTTTAACTGGTACTTAGGTATTAAATCTACCGCGGTTGTACCTTTGTGTAAGACACTTATTCACAATTGGTGGCCTTCGGCCACCTGGAAAATGGTTTCATCAAAAAAGGTTACGCCTTGAACTTGTACATAGTAACAAATCTCTAAATCTGTGAAGTGACTGCGGTGGCGTTACAAAAAAAAAAGTTCTTGTCTAACTTGAATTTTCTTATGTATAAGAAAATGTTTCCGTGTTTATTTTATTAGGACCTCATACATTTTTTAATGTAAAGTCTCGCCCACTATATGTATATATGATGAAGATGTTTCGGTGACATCAACGGTTGTCTTAATCTTACATTCTAAAAACCTTGCGCGAAAGCTTTTAAATCCGATTTACAAAGAGCTTAAAAACATTTAATGTGTTAAGTGGTTTAGCGTTGTTTGTATTTTTAAGGATTACGAATCAGTATTTTTATTATTGTAGAGTTTTTAGGGCAGTCAAATTTATAGTGTAGTTTAAGTCTTGTGTTATTGAGCTTTCCCTTTTTATGGGGAGTCCTTGAGACTCACCGTACCCGGTCTCGATAACTGTGAGCCTCTTCAACGAGAAATTCTTGCTGTTCACGTGTAACCTTAGATACCGACACATTTTTCGAGCGACCTTCATGATAGATGTGTGGACCTTTTTAATTCGTTTTAAGGCTTTGTGTTCATCTACAGGAAGGAATACCACAAATCTCTTCCACCACAAAAAATATGTACACCTTTACGCGGCAAAGATCTACTCCCATCCGTTCTTGTCCTGCTCCTCTACGTTATCGAAATTGAAGTTCTCTTTTTTCGTGCCGAGTCCTAATTCAAGCGCATAATTGGTGTGTGGGTATAAGTTCAAAACACATTTATATGTCCTAGGCTGACAACCACTCATATATTTTACGGAACCCTAAACAAATATGTCCCAGTAAATAGATCCATCAAATCCCGCCGTCTTTGAACTCTGACCTTAAGCTCCACAAGAGCTTGTTACCCCATCGAGGACAAAGGTTGCGCTTCCAGAATATCCTAAAATATTTAGGGTGGACTTCTCTTGGGAAGATTTGCGATTTTTGTAAGAAGAATACATCCGGTAAGGAGACTGAAGACATTTAGCATCATAATGGGTGAGAGCATTTAAGTTCTACTTAAGTCGAGTGTGGGTAAAAAACAATTATATATTCTTAATAAATATATAGTAGAACTATTTAGATCAAGCTGTTAGAAACAACTTTTTAAATATATGTATACATATAGTATAATTATAATGTGGGATATTTTCGGAGCTCACACAGGTCTTTCTCATTTAAGTATCCCATACATGTTACATGGAGTAAGTGATCATATTAAAGGCTAATACACTTGGATACCATCTCATTATAATTTTTCAAACTTTTGATTTCAGACCCAGAATTGGACCCATTCCGTCCATCCAGAAAATTTTCGGCTCCTGTATCATTGGACGATCCTGTCGATGAAGAAACTAAAGAAAAACAACGTCTTAGACAGGAGCGACTTATGACTGTGAATGAAGAAGCTCTAGATGAAATCGAGTTAGAAAAAAAGAAGGCTAAACGTTTAGATGAAGCTAAACAACGTGAGAAAAAGTAAGAAAAATACCTGCTCTTGTTTCATGTACCTATTTAATTCTCAACCTAAAATACCCAAAGGACTTCTGGCACTATTTAAATTATTTAATTTATCATACTTCCTTTTTTATTTTATCTAAACCTCACCGAAAATCGCTTCAACGGTTACAAAGCGCCAATTATATATATATAGATATATATATATATATATTATATACATAAATCTGAGCAATATCAGAGTAGTCCCCAGGAAATATATATATATATAACATTAAAGCGGCCGCGGTGTGTTTTGATTCATTTTTTCAAAAAGTATGCTTACTTTCATAGAATATAATGTATTTATAATGTGTTTTTCTGTTAGAATTCTAGAAGAGAGTATTATCCGCAAGTCTGAAGCAGAAGCTGAGAAGAAACGGGATGAAGCAAAGCTAAAGGCACGTGAAGAAGCCGAGAAAACTCGTTTGGCTGAAGAAGCTCGATTGGCTGAGGAAGCTCGATTGGCTGAAGAGACACGTTTAGCCGAAGAAGCTCGTTTAGCTGAAGAAGCAAATTTAGCCGAAGAAGCTCGTTTAGCTGAAGAGGCCCGTTTAGCTGAAGAGGCACGTTTAGCTGAAGAGGCACGTTTAGCTGAAGAAGCACGTTTAGCTGAAGAGGCACGTTTAGCTGAAGAAGCACGCTTAGCTGAAGAGGCACGTTTAGCCGAAGAAGCACGTTTAGCTGAAGAAGCTCGTGTAGCCGAAGAAGCTCGTTTAGCTGAAGAGGCACGATTGGCTAAGGAGGCACTTTTAGCAGAAGAAGAAGCTCGGTTAGAGGAAGAGAAACGGCGACGAGAAGAAGAAATAAATCGTCTTGCTGAAATCGAAAAGCAAGCAGAGGACGAACAGGAAAGAGAATTGGCACGCCAAGCAGCAGAGTTGGCTGAAATCGCACGACAAGAAGCAGAACTTGCCGAACAGGAGCTTAATGCCTTAAAAGCTGATAAAATAAATGCATCCAATTCAAATGACACTGCCGCTGTTGAAGATGAACCCGTAGTTGAACTACCGGACACTCCAATCGAAGAAACAAATAAAGAACCAGTTATTGAATTTTCGACTACCTTTGACGAAGTTAAATCCGATGCTGGCACCGAAGTCGAAACTGAAACTGAGGAAGAAGAAGAGGAAGAGTAGTAAAATATGGCAGTGGTTATAAAGCTTCCGGAAATCTGTACTAGAAAGGGAAGATTAAAACCGATGTGTTCATTCAAAAATTTTGCTGAATTTTATATATCATACATAGTTCCTTTAGAAATTCTCATATTTCACGTCAAAATAAATTAAATAAATGTTGAACAAAGTTATTATATTAAAAAAAAAAAACAAAAATAAATAACTTTATCTTCTTATTTTATTTCTTTTGCAATGAAAATTTGAACTTAAGTAAGGAGGCCTTCAGACAAAGATTATATTTACTTGGCGCAGAACTACTACAGAACTGGCTACAGGACCTTCAATCGGCAATGGCCAAGGGGCCAAAATGATTACCTCAATTTCCAAAAATAACAGCAATGCTCTTTGCACTGGAGACATAATAAAGAGTGTAGCAGCGCAGCTTCGTCGTGTCTCGTGTGTACGGCCACAATGTGGATGTAATATCATTCAACCAGTTAACCTAACCAAACCTAACCTATACAACCTTTTTATACAACATTATCTTACATACCGCCCCAGTCGGATTTTTCAATATATCTCCAACTTCATATCTGATTTAAAAGTATTATTTCAATGGCGAAAGGTTCGATTTGCTTGTATCTCAAGGAACCAAATCAATGATGGCATCATTTCAGTTTGTTCCGAGGAAATGTCATTACCCAATTATTTTAGTGCTGTGATTCGATGACTTCTCTTGTTCTTCCGGGGCCTACCTATTATTCTGCTTTGGAGATAAGTTTCTAAATTATAGACAGTCTTTGGGTTGATCATGTATTATATCTATCAGGTTCTAACTACCGTTTCAACTTCGCGAAACTAACTTAAAAAAGTTAAGCAGAAACCAGAGCAAAATACAAGGTGCGCCATCTAGTTGTATCCTATTTCAACATTGAATAGCTCCGCCATTTTTCAGCCGATTTTGACAGATGAACACAATTCCGAAACGTCATTCAGTGCCATTTTAGCTGTGAGTCGATACACACCGAAAGAACGCGCTGAAATCGTAGCGCTTTACGCTTCAAAGTTGGAGATACCATTGACGGTGCACGATACCGTTGGATTTTGGCACACTTTATCTGTCCAAAAATGCAGAAAAAAGGTCTAAAAAAAACTTTTATTTTCAACAAGACGGGGCACCTTGCCACACCGCAGCCGCAAGTTCCCAGGACGCGTTATCTCAAAAAATGGTGATTTGGAGTGGGCTCCTCGTTCTCCGGATTTAACGGTACCAGACTTTTTTTCTGTGGGGATATTTAAAAAGTAAAGTTTATGCCAGCAAGCCGAAAAACATTGACGAACTCAAAGCTAATATACGAGCTGAAATAGCTGCGATATCACCCGAAATGCTGGCCAATTTTATGCAGAATGCCCGCAAAAGAGCCGCTTTTTGTGTCTCAAATAGGGGTGGTCATTTAATCGACGTTGTATTCTAAACCTGGTGCGAAATAAATGGCATAGAAAATCGTAAAAAAATCTTGTTCATTTGTGAAAATTGGCGGAGTTATTCAATGTTGAAATAGGATACATCCAGTTGGCGCACCCGGTATATGGTAGTGTTGAAAAATGAGCTCTTCATTTCAGTAATACAATTTCAATCCATATTGAAATCATTCATTAACCATGTAGACGGGTTCGCAAGCAAAAACTAATACATTTACAATTTAGCTATTCTACTTTTAAAACTTTGGCTTAATTATTTCAACTTCAATCAAAAGACATTAATTACATACATACATATGTACATTTTGAAAACCTCTATTATGGCATCATTGAAAATTTTCATAAATTTTATTTGCACACATTTTCGCCGTTTTGTGCACTAATTTTACTTCGCTCTTTTGTTCGGACTGTTCAATATCTTTCCAGAGCTCAAGAATTACCTCGAATAAACTAAATATCTGTTTACATTGGAATAGTAAATTAAGATGAAAAATTTGGTCATACGAGTACACCAAGTAAAGCAAGCTAAAACCGCAAATGTATGTACAAGGTATGTTCAAAAAATATCACGAATTTTGTGTTTTTTCAAAAATTATTTATTTCTACCATGTGGCAGTACCATTTTCTCCACTTCACGCATGCTCTTCGTCGTTCTCATCTTCTCGGCCTTCTGAGAACATTTTGTACCACCGATAAACGTTGCTTCGGTCCAAGGTAGCTTCTCCGTATGCCACAGTCAATATTCGGAATGCATCCGCGCACTTAATTTCGATTTTCACACAAAATTTGACACAGATTCTTTGATCCATTTTTTTGAATTGGTAAAAATCGAACACCATCCAAAACACGTGCAAGCAAAGCAGCTCTCAACAATTAAGTGAACATTCAAAATGGCCGAACTTGTCGGCATAAGTGACAGATATGAGTACCAACTTAACGCCACAAAAAAATCGAAATTCGATTATACGTAACCCGCGAAAATTCAAAGTTCGTGATACTTTTTGAACACACCTCGTATGTTAGCTGGTTTACGCAATCCACAGTTATATGTAAATTTGAATCCTGTCTTCTTGGATCACTTTCGTAAACGTTATTTAGCATCGTTTTAATGAAGTAAAATCTGATAAAAAAATCAAAAATAGATAATACCGACCAAAACCAAAAAATGGTTCCAGAGCCGGAGCATTTCGTCAACTTTTCAATAAAATCTTTCAATAAATTATTTTCCAATGATAATAGCCTGATGAAAACCTTCGATACTATTTCCTTTCTACACATATTTGATTTCCTTTGATATTTATAAAAACTTACATATATCACTAGCAATTTACATTCCTGTGAAGATTTTTTTTTACATAATTACAATTCACGAAATATAGTTGTAGAATATTTTCTAACAAATGCGAGAACAAATCGTAGATGGGTTACGGCAATAAACAGCACTGCAATCACAAGAGCATGGCATACAGCAACATCTTTGCCTTTCGCTAAAAAGAAATACATAAAAGACACACATGCTATATTACATACATATGTAAAAAAGTTAAGGAAAACTAACCATAGCTCGCGCTGTTCCATATGAGCACGAAGTATATCGCACGGCCTAATCTCATCACATCGACTTGTCATACCAGTTCTATGCACACGATGTGCGCCAAAGCGGCCCCCAAACCCACGCGATGAACGATGATATTTTCTTCTTCTTCTCGCACCACGTCGTTCATTAATATCATCTTTGATACCTTTAGAGTATTGCTTTTTTCCACGTTTGCCTACTCTCATTTTGATTCGCTCGTCTTGAATTGACCGCAAACGATAAATATCCTTACTGATGGAGGTTTTATGAACCGGAATTATGGCATGACCTTTACGGACTTTCGTTCGTAAATCTGATATTATCGGCAGGTCGGAGATATCTTTCTTTTTTCGTAAGGGTCGCTTACGGTCACCGTCAGCGAAATCTTTAGCACTTGCTCTCTGATTATCCTTAAGTTCCTGATATCTATTGGTTATTCGTTTTTCTCTGCTGGATTTGCCTTTACTTTCTGGGTCCTTACCATCCCTGCTTCCATCATGATCGCCTCTAGCACTACCAAAATGACCTTTTTTCTGGCCCATGTCTTCATAATTGCGCTCATCTGCTGTATTATCGTCGCGTGGTTTTTTCTTTCCATCAAATTTTTCTGTGGCAGCGCTGCCGATTGCTCTATCTTTTTGATCGTTTCCCTGCTTTCGTTTTCCTTCATTCACAGTTCCACTTTCCTCATTATCTTCACGCTCTTTATTTTTGCTTTTATCTAATTTTGTTTTAACGAGTGTGCGATCCTCATCTCTGCTTCCTCTTGCTCGTTTGTCTTTTTCAGATTTTTCCTTTCTTATTTTAGTATTGAACGAATCACCATCATCTTCATCTCCATCACCAGTTGAACCTTTCTGTTTTCGTCCATGCCCTTCTTTTCCACTTTTACTACTTCTTTCTTTATCGGCATCGGTAGTTGTTTTACCTTTACCTTTTTTTCTTGCAGATGCCTCATCATCCCCTATGGCACTTTGTTTTGGACTTTTGTATTTTCTTCCTTTATCATGTTTTCCCATGCCGTCAAAATCATCTTCGTCTTCCACTCCCTTTCCTCTTATCCCCTTCCTACCCTTTCCATTTACACTCTGCTCATCAATATCCTTTTGTTTTCCCTTTCGTCCTTTTCCATTCTTTCCACTGTCATCATCATCATAATCTTGTTCTTTTGATCTTTTCTTCTTAGCCCGTTTTGTATCAGAAATGTCGTACTGACTCTTTCTAAGTTTCTCCTTTTCACCATGTTTCTTTGATCCGGCTCCCTTGCCACTTTTGTCTGAAATACTCCCATCTTTTCTTCCTTCTCTACGATCTTCATATTTACTTTCCCTAACATCCTTACCCTGGGCTACGTCCTTTCGTCCAGTTTTGGCTATTGTAGAAAAGCTAGAGGCACCATTAAGGTGTTGACATATTCCAGCTTCGCCTAGAATGGAATTCGAGTACATATCAGTGAATTTGATAGAAAAAGAACTTATTCGTATTGCCACAATATTTCACATGGTACTAACCAACGGACGATCGATGTATCCTAACATTGATACTGTTTCCACCATCGAATATTGTGTATTTTTCTCGGCTTTTTTGCCGATGATAATCTCTTATAACTTTTCTGCATATTTTTTTTAATAAGGAATAGGTGTGGTCATTTATCATAGAATTTACACAGCAGGGACGACATTGGCAATTTTGGTATTGGCTTTGGCAATTATTCTGACTTTTACTTTGGCATCCATCAAAAAAATAGTCCGTGCAACTGCTTGTGCTGAAAATAAGCAAACTCAGAAACTTTATGTAAGAAGCAATAAAGAATTTCTCGTGTTTTTCGGTCTTGCAAAAAACGTTAGCAAAAAACAGTACCTGGATTGAGGAAGATTATTGGTGGTATTTAAATCAAAAACCATTTTACAGGACAACACATTTTATCCGATTCAAAATTTTGTTTTAATCAGTTTATTCAAAGAAGAACATTTAAAATTTAAAAAAATAACACATTTATGACAATACGAAGGCAGAAATTTATTTCTTTCAATGAATACGTTGAGTGATTATATACCCACAAAGTTTATTTCTTAAAAATATATATCTATTATATATTTTTCAAAAACCTGAAGGTTTAGCAGGCATTCGTGTGAGATTTCGGACACGCGTGGCAAGGCCACATCCTCGACATTTTCTCATCAAACTTCAAATATATAATAATATTGTTCTTCACTTTCCTGTTTTATGATTTCCTTGGTTGAATATTTGCATTACAGCATTGTAATATATTTATTGGGTTGCCCAAAAAGTAATTGCGGATTTTTTAAAAGAAAGTAAATGCATTTTTAATAAAACTTAGAATGAACTTTAATCAAATATATAATTGCCATTTTGTTCGATAACCTTTTGCCATCTTCCTGGCAAAATTAGTATTCCACGCTCATAGAACTTCTGGCCTTTATCTGCAAAAAACTGAACCAAGTGCGATTTTATAGCCTCATCATTGCCGAAAGTTTTACCATTTAAGGAGTTCTGAAAAGATCAAAATAAATGGTAGTCTGATGGTGCAAGGTCAGGGCTATATGGTGGATGCATCAAAAGTTCCAAGCCAAGCTCATTCATTTCATTTTGGCGAGTGACCAAAGATGTGTGCGGTCTAGCGATATCCTGGTGGAATATGACGCCTTTACGATTGACCAATTCTGGTCGCTTCTCCTTGATGGCTGTCAGTAAACATCCGAATTAATCGTTTGGTTCCGTGGAAGCAGCTCAAAATATACGACACCCTTCCAATCCCACCAAACAGACAGCATAACCTTCTTTTGGTGGATATCAGCCTTTGAAGTGGTTTGAGCAGGTTGTTGTAAACAGTCCATTTTTCATCTCCAGTTATGATTCGTTTTAAAAACGGATCGAATTCATTGCGTTTAAGGTGCATATCACCAGCGTTGATTCGGTGTGTTAAATGAATTTCCTTCAATACATATGATACCCAAATATCAAGCTTTTTCACCAGTCCAAGACTTTTTATGTGATAATGAACGGTTGATTTTGGTATATTTAACTTCTATCCTATCTCACGCTCAGTTACATGACGATCCTATTCGATTAATGCTTTGATTTGGTCATCATCAACTTCATTTGGCCGACCTGAACGTGGCTCATCTTTAACTGAAAAATCTCCAGAACGGAATTTGCGAAATCAATTTTGACACGTCTTCCTTTTAATGCTTCACAAACAAATGTAAACAAAATTTCGCGCACTTTTTTTTTAAACAAGCTAAAAGTAACAGCTGATAACTGACAGAAGAAAGAATGCAATTACAGAGTCACAAGCTGTTGAAAAAATTTGTCAACGCCGACTATATGAAAAATCCGCAATTGCTTTTTGGGCAACCCAATTCTTCGAAGGATTGAAAATGTTGATCTGCCAGGCCGTGTGCCATCGAACGGAATAGGTGGAAGTCAGAAGGGGCAACATCTGGGGAATACGGCGGGGGGGGCAAGACTTCTCATTTCAGCGTTTCCAGATACTTTTTGACCACTTTTGCGACGTGAGGCCGAGCATTGTCGTGTTGGAGGATGACTTTGTCATGTCGCTCTTGATATTGTGGCCGCTTTTTTTTTAGCGCTCGACTAAGGCGCATCAGTTCGGTAGTAAAACTTCCCGCAAATAGCGAAAATTAGGCACATAAACGGACATTTTCGAGCGTGAATAATACGAAAACAAGCACAACTGTCACTGAAACGGCGATGACAATTCGTTAGGCACTGTCCACACTCACTTTTATACTTGGTTAACGGTGCTTTTACATCCGTTATAATATTTGTTATCATTATACTCGTACAAACTGTTGATGAGGTATTGTATTTGTTACCTAAATTGTGTGATTGGATTTTATTATTTACTTTATTTTTTGACATACGAATGGTTAGTGTTTTGTTTTTATTACTTACTGACCAGTTTTCTTTAATAAAAGATATTTGAATGCATTTATTTCTTCATTTATTTAAAATGCCATACAACATATACATACGTCATATGATATATCAATAAAATCATGCATTTTTCTGCATTTACTTGTGTCTACTTATATTAATTTAAGATATAAATCACATCTTTAATAAATTTTTGTTGCAAAATAAATCAATATATTTATATATATGTACTATTATGGGCAATAAGTAAGATGAATTTGTTTGTAAAATGAAAAATCTTTATTAATTCTTCTACATCGATTTCGTCGTCTTCAAAATAGTCCAATGCCGAAGCAATGCATTTATGCCAACGCTTTTTCCAATTATCGCAGCAAGTCAAATAGTCACGTTCTGGTATGACCTTTAGAGAGCGCGCCGATTCACGTTTATTCTCCTCAAACGACTCGAAACTGTCCCCTCGAAGTGGTCTCTTGAGTTTTAGGGAGAGCCAGAAGTCACATGAAGTTAACTCCGGCGAATGAGGTGGTTGGGGGACGATCCTCGTGAAATTTTTTGCGAAATGGTCACGAAGAATGGGTCCTGTGTGCGACGGTGCATTATTGTAATGCAAAAACCAATAAGTGTTGGCCCATAATTCTGGTCTTTTTTTTGCGAATTGCTTCTCGCAAACGACGCATAATGCTTAAATAATATTCCTTATTATTTACCATTTGACCGGACCGACGGAATTCAGAGTGCACCACACCACTAATTCCTTAATTTCAATGACGTTTTGCACATTAGTTGACGTTGATGGTCGTTCCGAGCGCTCCAAGTCATCATCAACACTCTCTTTGAAGTCTTTATACCACTTCTGCGACATAGTCCCCAAAAGAGCCCCAAAGGCTTTCTTCAGCATCCTCAACGTTTTAGCAGCCGAAAATTTGTTTCGCAGATCGCACTTCTTTGCTTAATTAAATCAGACATTATAAAAATCGCCGAAGGTTTTTTGAGTCGTTTAATAAACACAACCGTAACTAAAATACCAATGATGACACTGGCGTAGATGTCGATAACAGTGCTACCAACATTAAAAAAAAAGAATTAACCCGAAATATTGAACGTGCGAAGCTCAAGTTAAAAATTCACCTTACTTTTTAAACACAGTAGTATGCAATATACAAATATTGGTTTTTATAACATGTAGAGTATTTTGTACAAGTACGAGTATATTTCGAAATATTTAAAAGAATAACAAAATATTCTCATACTATATATTAGCGGCGGCTGCGGTTGCCTAGTGGTTAGCATTACGCACTAACATTCATCACAACCAACATTCAAAAGTTATGGAAAATTAAGTTAAATAAAAAGTTAAGTCAAATTTTCTAATTGTGGTCGCCCTTCGGCAGCGAATGTCCAATCCTCCGAGCCGAGTGTATTTCCGACATGAAAAATAGGCTCCTCGTAAAACAACCATCAGCCGGTCGTATTCGGCTTAGTATAAACTGTAGGTCCCTCTATTTGTTGGAAAAACATCAAGATGCAAACCCACAAATTGGAGAAGGAGCTCAGCCGAAAAATCGATCGCTTCAGTCGATATATTAGCTTATTTTACCACATCTTTCTTTTGTCTCCAAATGGGATGCATCTTTATCTTTAAATCCGTTGGAATATTGCTTATCCTGCTAGCTTCTGAAACTTAAAATTTTAGCTGAAAATAAATACATTATTAGTTAAAATATTTGTTTATATGCGAAGACTGCCGCAATAGCAAAGTGGTTAAATAAAAGCTACTCATAATAATTCATCGGCCGTATGGAGACGGCTGAGGATAAACTGTAAGTCACTCTACTCACTTGCGCTGCAAAAATTGCATCACAGCGGCGCACCTTGGTGGAAATAAATGTTCGTCAGACCTTTTTGACGCATTTGCGGGCGTGTAAAGTGCGCCAACATCCAATAATGGCCTGCCCTGTCGACGTTTTCTCCAGCTTCTTGATCATGCAGTGGTGTGGTGACATGGGGGCTTTCTGTTCATCACATTCAACAGTTTTGTTTATTGACTCCGCCGGAGAAGGTGAAATGAGATTCATCTGTCTTCAGATCATAAACTTGTAGTGGTGAAATGATTACTTCTTGCTTGTAGGGATGTTTAAACAATTATATTTTCTTAACTTGAAACCACAGTCTATGAGCGCAACTGGCGTAAAGTACAATGTTACATGAATAGATTTATTACCCAGATATTATTTGGGCACGGAACCTGAACACAGGTTTTTCAAATACACGAACTCGCAAACACAGGGAAATAAGCTTCACACCTTAGTTGACCTTCTGAACGGTGACAACATTCGAAGAATTACATATGAAACGTTCTGCGGCTAAAGTCAAGTCTTGGACGCAGATACCGAAATGTAAGTCCCGAGACGAGAAATATTGATCAGGTAAAAAGTTCGTTGGGTTTTTATTGATTTTTCAAAATATGATAACTTTGTGTACATTTGTCCGATTTAAGTCAAATGTGCGCCGTTTTGTTCATAAACTTATTACCAACGAGACGCCAACTTCATTATATCCCTCTCTTAGAAGGCTGCGCTCCTATTGGCAAAAAATTCGGAGAGCCAATTTTCACAGGTCTCTTTTGAGGCCAACTTTTCACCGTTAAGCGCATTCGCCATGGACAGGAAAAGATGGTAATCACTTTGTGGGTGCCAGATCCGTACTATAAGGTGGGTTCATTAGGATCTAACATCCGAGCTACTGGAGCTTCAGGCGCGTCACCAAAGACGTGTATGGCCTGGCGTTGTCCTGATGGAACACAATACGGCCTCTGTTGATCAAAGATGGCGTCTTCTGGATGAGTGCTGCCTTGAAGTGGTCCATTTGTTGGCAGTAGAGGGCCGAGTTGAGAATTTCGTTATAGGGGAGCAGCTCGTAGAAGATGATTCCTTGCCAATCCCACCAAACATACTGCAAAAAATTCCTGGCCGTAAATACGGTCTTGGCCACCGTCTGGGCCGCTTCCTCGAGCTTTGACCACGACCGTTTGCGCTCGATGTTGTCGTGAGTGATCCACTTTTCATCCCCAGTCACAATCCGGTTCAGAAACGATTTTGTAGCGATTCAGCAGATAGAAATTCTGTCCATCATATTTTTTTGCGTTAGTTCGTGTGGCACCCAAACAACGAGCTTCTTTTTGAACCCAAGGCTATGCAAATGGTTGTAAACGGTTTTCTGGCTTATCTTTAGTTCCTCAGCAATTAAATAAGTGCTCACGTGACGGTCTGTTTCCACTATTTCCATCATTTTATCGTAATTTTTGACGGCAGGCCTCCCGACGCGTGGTGTATCTTTGACATCGAAATTACTGGAACTGAACCTAGCAAACCACGTTCATTTACAGTATAGGGCCCATACTCTAAATTAATTTTTTCACCCGCTATGGCTGGTTTTTCGCCTTGATCGAAGAACAATTTTAAACTATAGCGAATTTTCTCTCTGCTGATGTCCATCTTTGACGAGCGCTCACAACGTACTGAGTCAATCAATCGATAAACTGTCAAAGACAAACTTATAGCGCTAATAACACGTTTTCAGCGCCGTGACATGATGCGACACGTAACACTAGTACTATGGACAATATCCGAACGAACCTCTTACTTGACCTAATATATTGAAAGGCTCCCTGAAATAATTCGAAAGAAATAAAATCTTCCACTGAAAACCTGCAGCTCAGCTTTGACATCCATTTTCGTCCTCACTGTTGGCCACTTCTTATTCCACATTCTCTATCAAGTCCCAAGCCCCGCTTAGGTTATCATAAGACATTGGTTAAATGATCAAATGATTGGTCAAAACTGGTCAAACCAAAATTTAATTTTTCTCTCTATTCCTTCCAGAGACGGAAGTGAGTCTTTATTGAGCATCGAAAATGCATGACGCGTTGACTTGGTGCTTAGTTCCAACGTTCTCATCCGACAGAGTTATTAAGGGCGATTCAGAGTTTACCCAGTAATTTTGATAATGGAAGGAAGATATGTGAAGTCATACTCTGGCCCTTGGTCTGGATGGTGGAAGTCTTTAAAATCAGTCAAAGTGGCTACGTTTAGTGAACATTTGGAGCCCGAGGTCCGCCAAGCCATTATAGACCAATTTCATTGTACTCTGAAGGATGCTTCTCCCAGCTTCTCCCAAAAGGCAATGAATATTTTTCGTCCACAGGATGGGAAAAAGCTTTTGAAAATTAGGCATATGTTTATTATGAATGTCAAGGTGGTCGATACTATTAGGCACTTGCCTCTATAAAGTATAGTCCTCTCGGTAACTCCTCTTGGTCGGCTGTGGGGCTCAACCTAACTTGCCATTTACTTCCGAAATTTGTTAGCTTAAACTACAACCTATGTTTCGAATATATAACAATTATAACACATATATTTATTTACTTAAAATTACTTATATATATATAACGTAACAATCCGGGCGGTATTACTTCATTTGTTTGAATTTTACAGATTTGTTATCATTTCCGCCAAAATTTTCTCTTCTTCTTCAATAACCGGTAACCATTTTTCTGATGGAATAATTAACTCACGTTCTTCAATAGAGTCTAACCCATTTGTATGTAATAATGTTGTATTGTAAGTTTGTCTTGCAGCTATTTGTTCCTCAATTATGTCCAAAAGCTTATTCGTTTCTTCTAAAAGGACATCAATAGATAGCAGAAATAAATTCCAATCATACCCAGTAAATCGAATATTGCTTAGAGATGATCGCGGTAGAGGCGAGAAATTCTGACTTGTTCGATTCGCCTGTATTATGTACGGTACGAATTTACTGGTATTGTCATCATTATTAACCTCACCATAATCGAAATTCCATGACAAAAGTGTTGGCTGAATAAGATTTCTATTTGGATTAGTAACTTGTTCCTTCATTCCACTGTTGTCAGCAAAATATTTTTTCAAAAATATATCACCAGTAAATCTTGGAATTAAGGTTTGGGTAGTTGCATCTGAAACTTTCGCCGTGTCCGTCATTTGCGAAACGGAATATGTCAAAATAACTAAAAAATAAATAATGAATAAATACATTATACATACATACATACATGCGTTATAAGGATTAATATAATATGAGTATGTTCCTTTCGAAAATAATATGTATCTGATCGTATCGATCAGTGAGATATTATATGATAGATATATTTATAAGGGTGTGATTAATTGCAAACTGAATGCAGCGGTAGACGTATCCATACTTACATAGTACATATATATGACTAAAATTAAATTCATGCGATAAAACTTTTAATATATTCGTATACTGCTTATATTTGTCATAGTTGCGGCAAACAGATGCTATGTGTGGACTTATTAAAATATTCGTTTCAAGGCATTATTCTCAGGTGGCAGAAGTAAGAAAAGAATTCGGTAGATGCTTTTTATTATAAGTGAAATGGAAATTGTTGTCATACTTTCCGAAACTAAAACTTATAGATTTTATCGATTATATGCGAAATGTACGCGATTTGGCTACTATAATACCGATGAACTCTGCACATAATGTAGGCATACCTCTTTCTTCGGCTAAGTGCATAATAATTGGATGAGTGCATAAGTTCGTGCCCGATTCCGCTGGATACCGTTCGAATCGTTTGAGAGTGGCGCTCGTGAAATAAATATATACATATTATATATCGTTGGAAAGGTGACAGTCCGAACTGTAAATCAACCATAAAATAACTTCATATTTGTTTCAAAGAACAAGAGCCAACAGTAGATGGCAGAGTGACCACGTTCAATTGATCAAAGTAAACAGAACTAAGTTTTTACTCCTTCTAAACATGACCTTAAAAAGCATAACAACCGGCGCATTAGCCGAACACAGTGTTTATCTGGAAAAAATGAGAAGAATCTTCTTCACAGTACCAACATAGGTATCATCACGAGATATCAATAAAATTTAGCAGTTATATTGAATTCAAAGATGTTTAGAAAATTTAATCGACTTAAATGAATTGTAGAGTAGTTCAGAGATCTTTAAAATGAATTCGCTTGCCCAAGTCTTTAGAGACTTGAATAAAAAACAATTCTCAAAATAATGTCTTGTCTGCTCACAAAGTTTCCTTGAAACATCTCTGAAACTGTGAGACTGATTTGCATTCAAAAGTATGGCAGATATAGTAAATCCAGTTAGCTTCTCATCTTCTTCAACTCGATTTAAAATTTGGTTAGCAAATCTCTTCCCTTTCTGATACTTTCAGATAATTTTCAAAAGTTATAATAAACAATTCAGAAAGCCATACACTCGATGAAGTTCACTATCAGAGGTTGCAAAATACAGACATTAATAAATGATTTTTGAACATTTAAAATGTATGAAATTTTTCCACATACATATTTTTTATTTAAAAGTTGTAAATTTTTTTTAGAGAAGAGGGAAGCACGAGAAAGACGAAATACATTTAACGTCAGACAGCTATGAAGCCAACCGAAAAATAAGCATCATAGGCGTGTTCCATTCCTCAGGGCTGTAAGATTCAATAATTTTACAAAGTATTTTGGAGAGTAATGACAATCTGGATCACCAAATATAATATTATGTGAGAGCGCCAAGAGATGTGCACTTTTTTATAGCATTTGTCAAAGATGCTACTACTATAAATTAAAGTTGGGCGTAATTTATTAAAAATAGGAAAATAATCTCCTAATAAGCCATTTAAATTATTTAGCATGCTAAAGTTCAATTTTAAAGAAGATACTGAAAATTTCATCGGAATATTAAAATTCTAAAATAATTAGAAATTTGTATTTATTATTAATGCTACACATGATACAATAATTTAAAGGTAGTTTCATTATCTCTTCCCAGTCGGCTTCAAAGCTATCTGACATTAAACGTGTTGCGGCTTTTTGTGCTACCCTGTTCTCTTAAAACAATCTACCACTACCATCCAAAGTGGCATCATTGGACCGTACTTCTTCAAAGATGATGCGAATCGTAACGTAACTGTAAATGTTGAGCGCTAATGTGAAATGTTATCAAACTTTTTTTTGCCCAAAATACAAGATCTTGACTTTGAATGACATGTGGTTCCAACAAGACGGTGCCACATGCCACACAGCACGTGTAACAATGGACTTATTGAGAGGCGACTTCGGTGAACATTTTATTTCACGTTTTGGGCCGGTCAATTGGCCGCCTAGTGCGACTTAACGCCTTAAGACTATTTTTTGCGAGAAAGAGTATGCCGAAATTGGACTAAGCGGATGAACCATTTGAGGCGCAATCACGGACAACATTTGCATGAAATAAGCTTCAAACGTTAAATAGATCGTACTATCTATTCAAATAATAATATTGAAAAATCATCAATAAAATTGCCGGATGGATTGAGCATTCAAATCATAAACCAATATTGTTTGAAAAATTATAAACCATTTTGTTTCAACTGAGAATAATTTAAATACATCTGGTGATAATAGAAAATTATTCTTTGCCGGCGTCTCGTCTTTTCTACTCACGATCTCGTGTTTTGAGCTGGCAATAGAACTCAACCACGCTCATAGGAAGTGAGTAAGTTTTATAGCATATTATCGTTAATAAAACAAAGAAAAAAACGTTGAATGGAACAACCTTCTTTTCTATATAATGATATATGTATGCATAAATACGTAAATAAAATATATGTAAGTGGGTATTTACACTCATCACCATTGTTGATCTTCTTTGTGTAGAACCCATCGGTTAAAATTCCTATGTCCTTATAAAGCACCAAATCTGTTTGTGTACCTAAATTTACATCTTTTAGTAGTTTTGTCAGTTCTAGATTTGCCTGCAATCCAATAGAAGATTTTCCTGCCCGTAACCGCCTGAAAAGATATGACAACATTTATTAAAAAAAATAGATTTAAATGTATTAATTAATTAATTAATTACATCATAAGTTAGTAGATCAAGTGAATTAGGTATGTACATACAGTAGATCATATTTTATACTAATAGCAAGAATACAAAAACAAAAAGCCTATGCATTTAGTTTGTGTAAACGTAGTTTCGCTAAGTCAAAAACGAAATTCGTTCAATGTATTTTATTGGTGTAATAAAAAGTTCGTAATGTCAAAACCTATTTCTCGTGTATTTTGTTTGTCTAATTTGTTGAAATGGAGGGAAGGAAGAACAGGCAATCATATGATGTAACAGCTTCACTTTCTATAAATTCGCCTTGTAATTTTCTTTAAAAATGAGCAAAAGCGTAACACTGAGAAATTATTTTATGTGATATCAGCAAGAAACATAGCATTGATAGATGAAATGGAATCGGCCCTATATTCCGCCACATTGGGTGAGATAGGGTTAATCATCACAATACTGTTAAAAATGTATATATTATATATACATATAACAATAAGCGAGTAATAAACAAAAAAATAAAAATTATAATAGAGCAAGAGCATACTTGAATGTTTGTCTTCACAAGTCTCCAACGTAGGTAAGGACGATGACGCGAATAATAATGTTGACCATTGGTTACAGCTAACAAATATGCAGAAAATGGCACTTTAAATAAATAAAGGTCAGGTTTTTGATATTTTTTCCGAATAATTCTCAGAATGACCTCACTCCAATTGGCAAGTCTGCTGGACCATTTAAATAATTTCTGCGATTGGTAACAGCTCTTTCTCATTCGAACTATAGTTTTGTTCTGTTTCGTTTATTATGCGTAAAATAAGTGCGATTAGTTTTCCATTTTGTTCAAGATCTGTTCCAATAGCGAAATTGCTTACATCTGTTGTCAAATGAAATGGTTTGATGACTTCGGGGTGGATTGTCAAAAAAATGTTAACTTTTCCTAGGCCTTGAATAATTATATTAGCTGTGTTCCTTGGGAAACGTCAGTAAAAATTAGCCAGCAAGTTGTACAGCAGTTATTTTTTTTGGCGGCTACATTTTAATTTGTTTACTCATTTTTTCTGCTTATAAGAATTTTCCTAAGTATTTTAATATAATTGGCCAGATTTAAATTCATTTTCCGTGTAAGCCGACCTCAATATTATTATGGAGTTTATTCGATTATATTCCAATAAAAAACCAAGAAAGAGCTTTATTTTTCCTAATAATACATTTTGTGCATCGTCGTCGTCGTGTAGCTTTTTGCATAAAATTTAATGTTTTTATTTTTTCCAAATGGTTCTCGTTGCAATCCTTAGCTCTTGGGCAATCAAAACAGTGCTTACACGACGGTCGGGCTCGACAATGTCCATGATTTTATCGACAATTGGCCATTGGCCTTCCACTCCGTGAAGCATCTTTTACCTAAAAGTTACCGGACTGAAAGCGAAATCGGGACTGATTGACTGTAAAGTATAAGCGCTATTCACATTTTCCGCCGCCCAGATTGCGTTTTCGCCCTTATCAAAGAATAACTGTAAAGAATGGCGTATTTTCCCTTAGTGTCCATCTTTGACGCACGCTCAAAAAAAAAAACTGAATCAAACCAATCTCAAAACTGTTATAAAAGCTTTTTAGTACGAAATGACATCTTTCTAACGCCAACTAGCGGAACACGATCGGACTTATATGACGCGAGATACAAATAAATAATGCCACCTATTGGAAAAATAATGGATTTCTTATTACTACGCCTAATATATTCTAATTTTATGCCTACAACTTGGCGGCCGCGGTGAGTATTGTGTACTGCCATTCGGAAGTCCCGGGCTCAAATGCTGGTACGATCAACATCCCAAAGTTATAGAAATTTAATTTAAATAAAAAATTAAGTTAAATTTTCTAATCACGGTCGCCCCTCGACAGGGCATGTTCACCCCTCCGAAGGGATTTCGGACATGAAATAAGGACTTCTAATAAAAAAAAACCATTACCCGTTCGGGAAGGCTTAGTGTAAGCCGTAGGTTCGTTCCTCCATTTGTTGGAAAAACATCAAGCCCCAAAAACCATAAATTGCAGGATGAGCTCGGCCGAAAATCGCTTCATCGGATACAAAGCGCCAATTATATATTATATGACTACAACATTCCTAACTTCTAATTCCTCAAAGTGAGCTCGGTGGTATGCGGCCGATAATTCCACGCCACTGCCACCGCTTTCTCATTTAAGAGTACCTTGAATCGATGATACCAATCAAATCAAATTTTTTTCAGCAAAATTATATTTGAGCACTTATTTCGGTACTATCAGGTGTACAACTTTGTTTCTGCCGTTTTCCGATAGGTGGCTGTACCGGCTGAGGCTGGTTGAAATACATAGATGATAATGCCTTTAAAGTGAGTGTGGACAGTGCCTAACGAATTGTCATCGCCGTTTCATTGACAGTTGTGCTTGTTTTCGTATTATTCACGCTCGAAAATGTCCGTTTATGTGCCTAATTCTCGCCATTTGCGGGAAGTTTTACTACCGAACTGATGCGCCTTAGTCGCGCGCTAAAAGTAAGCGGCCACAATATCAAGAGCGACATGACAAAGTCATCCTCCAACACGACAATGCTCGGCCTCACGTCGCAAAAGTGGTCAAAAAGTACCTGGAAACGCTGAAATGGGAAGTCTTGCCGCATCCGCCGTATTCCCCAGATGTCGTTCCATCTGACTTCCACCTATTCCATTCGATGGCACACGGCCTGGCAGATCAACATTTTCAATCCTTCGAAGAATTGGAAAAATGGATTGCTTCATAGATAGCGTCAAAAGAGGACTCCTTTTTTCGAGCCGGGATCCGAAAATTGCCGGAAAGTTGGGAGAAAGTTGTCGCTAGCGAAGTACAATACTTTGAATAATATATCTGTAAGCACTTTTTCGCACTTTCCTTATATAATCCAAAATGCGGCGTAATACATTTAGGCAAATACGCGCTATTTCATGGAATCGACTGTCATCAATATTTCCGAATACATCATTAGGCTGCGCTAAGGAAAACGGAAGAAAATGTTTAGAATAAATCGAAAATGAATTTCACTCATAGAGGTCCAAATTAGTTCAGTCAAGCATGATTAAGTTTAATATTTACGTGCCTCTATTTTTTGTATAAATCAGCTGGTTAAATATTAAGTTATTATGTCTTCATAACATTTTCATTTATGATTTACTAGAAGTCCTGTCCTCGTGTGCAGTAACTTATGTAGAGATATAGTCAGAGATGATTCGCTTTTTCCCCACTTAAAATCATTCATAGAAATGATCTAACGCTATCAATCAGAGATTCGCTATCAATTCGCTATCAATCACTATTCAAAGCCTTTCTCAGGGGGATGAGCCATGACTGCCATTCACCTGGGAGTAGCCAGAAAAGATTCTTTTGCATATGGTTCAAGCAGCTCATTACTTCCGGTCTTACATCAAGTATCCCCTTGGTAGCCAACAAACATCCGTTTGAAGGCGAGATAAAGTGAGAAGACGAGTCCCATGCAGTTGTGCGTAGGGTTTGGCACCCACCACATGAAAACCTTAACGCAATAAAAGTTCGAAATAAATCTAGAATGGGAGACCTCCCTTTTAATGACAACCCCGCAAATGCTTTAAGGATTACGATTTGATGACATTCACCTGGATTGTCCGGTCCCTTAATTAGGAAGATGCTGCTGCCCAGCTGGTTGGTGTCCTCATATAGTTAAAGGCTGACATTACTAGTGTGGACGGAAGAAGATGGGTCCTTTTGAAATTTATTACAGCGGCCATATAAAGGAACAGAAATTTGGTGTCGGATTCGTGGTGGGGGGGAGACTACGTCGCCGAGTACCAGCATTCACTCCGGTTGATGAACGTATCGCCACAATCCGAATCGCAACCAAATTTTTTAACACCATGCTGATTTGCGCCCACGCCCCGACGGAAAAGAAGGACGATGCGCCTTGATCACACTTAAGAGCGCTGCCCCCGACACGACGTCAAAATTGTGCTTGGCAAGTTCAGCGCTAGGGTGGGCAAAGAAGGTATTTTTAGAACAACAGTCGGAAAAGTCAGCCTCTACGACGAAACATCCCGAAATGGACTGAGGCTGATCGACTTCGCCGGGGCCCGAAATATGATTGTCTGTAGCACTAGATTCCAGCACACACGAATTCATTAAGCTACTGGCGGTCTCCAGATCGAAAAATTCTCAACCAAATCAATCATGTTGTGATTGACGGAAGAAATGTATCTAGTGTTTTAGACGCGCGTACGTTTCAAGGTCCTAATATTGGCTCGGATGATTAGCTTGTCGCAGCGAAAATACGCATCCGCCTCTGTGTAACGAAGAACGCCGGTTAACAAACATCAGGAAGGTTCGACGTTGATAAGACTGCCGAGCGGTTTTCTACTCGACTTGTACAGCTGCAAACGAAACTATTAGATCTCGGAAAGGTCGCAAAAACAACATGTACGACGTGGTCGGCCACAACGCGAGTGGGGTGAGATATATACCGAGAGCTGAAGAGAAAAACACGGCCACTTATGAAGGGTTTCAAGATCGGAGCAAACACTTGTAGGACCCATAGAGGTGATCTAGTGGTATCCGTCACTGAATTTATGGAGGGAACACTTTTCCAATTGCTGAATGGTAGTCACAATGAAACACCCAGAGGTGGTGGACCCGAAGTTCCAATTGAAGATGATGGAAGAGTTGTTGCTTTACTCGCCTATGAAGAAGTCCGAATATCAATCGCCCGCCTAAAGAACTACAAAGCGGCGGGGACCGATGGATTACCGACCGAGCTATTCAAATACGGTGGTGATGAACTGATCAGGTGCATGCATCAGCTTCTTTGCAAAATATGGTCGGAAGAAAGCATGCCCGACGACTGGAACCTAAGTATGCTCTGCACAATCCACAAAAAAGGCGACTTGACACATACCACCACTTCGTCGATTTCAAAGCAGCCTTCGTCATTACGAGAAGGAGCTGCTTCTACGCCGCTATGTCTGAATTTGGTATTCCCGCAAAACTTATACGGCTGTGTAAGCTGACCTTAAGCAACACTAAAAGCTCCGTTAGAATCGGGAAGGACCTCACCGAGCCGTTCGATACCAAACGAGGTTTCCGACATGTTGCATCCTTATCTTCTTTAATTTGATGCTGGAGGAGATAATAAGAGCTGCAGAGCAGAATAGGGAAGTACAATCTTCTATAAGAATGTATAGCTGCTGGCGTAAGATGATATCGACATTAATGGCCTCAAAAACCGCGGTAATAGTTCTGCTTTCTCCGGACTCTATAAAGAAGCGAAGCAAATGGGCCTGGTAGTGACAGAGGGCAAGACGAAATATCTCCTGTCATCAAACAAACAGTCGTTGCATTCGCAACTCGGCACCCACATCAGTATTAACATCAAAAATAATGTCAGCCTAGAAATCCAACGCAGAATCACTCTTGCCAATAGGTGCTACTTCGGACTGAACGGGTAATGAAAAGTAAAGTCATCTCTCGGCGAACGAAAACCAAACTCTACAAGTCCCTCATCGTTCCCGGAAGCATGGACGATGATAACATCTGATGAGTCGGCGTTAGAAGTTTTCAAGAGAAAGGTTTTGCGTAAGATTTATAATCCTTTGCGAAATTGCAACGGCGAATACCGCAGACGATGGAACGATGAGCTGTACGAGCTTTATGATGATATTGACATAGTCCAGCGAATGAAGAGACAGCGGCTACGCTGGCTAGGTCATGTCGTCCGAATGGATGAAAGGACTCCACCTTTGAGAGTATTCAATGCAGTACCCGCCGGGGGAAGGGAAGGATCAAGTGGAGAGCGACCTGGCTTTACTTGGTATTTCCACCACGCGGCGAACAGCAAAAAGAAGAGACTAATGGTGCGCCAACATTGGTTCGACCATGAAAATTACACCAAGTATTTCCTACGAATATCAAGAATGGAGAGAATAATAAATTTCAGACGACTAGTACAGCAAAGATTATATTGAGAGTCCCAATTCCTCATGGCAAAAAGAAGAATTTTTTTTAAATTCTATCAGAGTATATTGGATACCACAGGTTGCCAATTACCGATCCGTATTCTAGAATAGGACTACTAATGTGTATACAAAGCTTTAGTAACGTAAGTATGCCCATATATACAAATGCTAAAATGACATGGCAAATCTCTCTCAGGCTCTGCAATAATTGCATAAGCCGGCTTATTCAACTCATTTTTTGGAAAGCGACAAGGGGATGATAAATTAATTACTTTGTTTTGCAAGTTTTTTGGGCTGTCAGCTCGTTTACGTTTCTTCAAGTGAATGTCATCTATTCTTTCCACGGACTTTGGAGATCGGAGTAGTGTTGGCTTGATTCCAGACATTCATGTTAATACTTTCATAGCAGACTTTGAGGAACTTAGCCTTAGTTCTAACTACATATATCTGGCACTGTAAAATGTAAAGGACAATCTTTGTATGTACATAGAACCCAATATGTAAATGCGGAAAAAAGGTTTGTGTTTTGTTTGGTATGAACTTTTCTATCTATCTTCTATTTAATAATATCATTTGAAATACTCAAATTGGACCAAATACAAAAAAGCCACAGCAGCATTTGGTCGGGCTCGTCATAAAATACAGCTATTAGACCCTTATATTCTCCTTCACCTGTACCCCTGCTTAAATTTGTTAGCACAATTTCGAAATATAAATACATATATGGAATGTTCATATATAGTTTTTTTTTTCATTTCGTATAAGTACCTTGAAGCATCAAGCAGTTTTGCTCTCAATATGGCATTTTTATCTGGCTTAGGTAATGTCGATACGCTCACTGCCCGCCACGGAGGCCTTTTATTTTCCGCATCTCCGCTTTGATTGCCTCCAATCTCTTTCATACGCTTCCAGCTCTGTGAGCCCCTAATTTGATGAACACCATTCTATAATAAGGCAATATATTTCAAACATTTCTTAACGAACCTCTTTTGCGCTTCAAAATTTTCTGGAGTTAAGTTTGTAAAAAACTTGCTGTTTTCTTCAACACTCTGTGTTTCGCTCGTCTCCGAAGACGTTCCACTATTATTTGAACTCGGAGAATTAAGTCTACTCATTGCTTCTCAATTACAGTTCGTCATATATTAAATTTGTTTCAATTTATTTAAACACCATAGTTTCCGTTTATTAATATGGATTGACGCTGATTTATGGATGTGTGCATTTACACATAACAAACATAAGAGACGTGTGTACATACATACATATTTAACATAGAAATGTTCATAAGTATGTTGGTATTATTACATTTCATTACACCTACAGTGCATGCAAGAATATTCTATTCTATATAAATATAAGAGGGATAACATGTTTCCAATAGCGGCCGCATTAGCCGCGTGGCCAACGCTGCGTACTGCCATGCGGAGGATCAGGTTTGATTCCTAGCTAGACCAACATTCAAAATTATAGTGAAATGATTTTTTTTCAATCTCTTCGGGTGTATTTCTGACATGAAATAAAAGGTGCGCAGAAAAATTCATAAGGAATGTTTTTGGGAATAAGCGTATAATGTTCGTAGGTTTCCTAAGTCTAAGTCTTACGGCGAATGAACTATCACTTTAATTTCTTAAACGTAGCGTAGAGAGACAATTTTTATACTCAAGGAGCATGCGAGATACGCACGGTCTTTTTTCACACAATTTCCCATTGAGTTGGTTAAGGCTAGTTTTCTTGTGAAAATATATTTCAAATACATATATGTCTGCAGGCAGTGCAAATAATACTATAAGTAAAACAAAACTTTCTTAGGAAGTTCAAAATTCAAAATAGGCTTGGAAGTATGACTTAAAACTGACTCGTATATGACCAGAAACGGAGGCCATAACCCACACTTCAAGAGAGGTCGGATGGGGTAATATAATATTTTTTGCCGACAAAAGCTTTTTATTCCATAAAAAAGAATGTACACTTGATCCATCCTATCCTTATCCATTTCGTGATTTAAAAATACTAACGAAAATAATTTTATTCCCAGTAGATTACCAAAAAACAAACGAATCAAATTTCTTATTACTTTGCTTATATATTTTTTACAAACTTTTTGAAATTTCTTTAATTTCTTAATTAGGAGGGTCTAGGCTTGATTTTTTATTCAGTAAAAATCCAAATGAACAAAATTTCCCATTTGATTCTCTCTACTCTAGCGATTATCGGGCGAGTTCCTCCTCCAATTTGTAGTTCTGTGTCTTGATGTTTTTGCAACAAATGGAGGGACCTACAGTTTATTCTAAGTTGCTTCTGAGCAGACAATGGATTTTTAAAAGAAGCTTCTTAATGTCGGGAATACCCTCCTAGGGGTTGATATTCCCTGCCCAGGGGCGACCGCAACTAGAAAAATTAAATTTTTGTAATTTTGGATGTTGGTAGCAACGCAACACGGCCGCCGAGTAAATAAGTACTAGGAACTTGTTTGGCTAACCTTTCTAGCTGTCAAGTATATCAGTGGTTAAGTGCTATAGAATGTATGAGATGGCTAATGATTATTACTTTAATAACAAGTATACATAAAAATATTGACAAATACAGGATTTTAGTAAATATATATAATATTTAAAACCAATTTATTATAAATTATTAGCTAAAATTGGCGCTTTGTAACCGCTGAAGGAATTTTTGGCCGAGCTCCTCCTCAAAATTGTGGTAAGGGCTTGACATTCCCAGCCAAGAGGTGGCCGCAGCAATTAGAAAATTTAATTGAAGACGATGCAACATAATTTTATAAAGAATAAACTGCTTTGCTTGGAGTCCTAAAGAAGAGTTTTCTAGAATCTTTTTGTAAGTTTTGAAACTCGCCCTACATTCTATAAATTTGCTTGCAAGAATACTTTGCAAACTCTGACATTTTGAAACGCTAAAGTGCAAATTAGTTGCTTATCGGTGAAGTGGCTAAAATATGAAAAAGATCAAGAAAATAAGTAATATAATGTTTAAAAATATTAATTATTGTTAAGAATTAATGATAAAATAAAGCATCACAAACCTTAGCGATGCGCAGTTTGCTTTTGTTTGCGGATCAATAACTTTACCGATGCAGTTTGGAACATGATGCAACGTCAAAGTTTGCACAATTGCATTTAGGAATGCGTGACAATTTATGGTTGCTTTGCAACTGACGTTTTGGAACTCACCCTAAGCCAAGGCTGATAAAAAAATGCTAATCTTCAAATTAGTACAGTATGAGACGTGGGCACAAACCGCAAAATATAATAAGTCAAAAACATTTCTATTTATTTAATAAAATAAAAATTTTTCAACGAATTTCTGTATCTACAAAGCGAAACAGGTTAGGCAAATTTATGATAAATTTAACAAAGGGTGATTTAAAAAGAGCCTTTGGTATTTGACATTGGAATTCAAGAAAAAAAAATAATGAATTAAGGAGAAGCATTTTTGATTACAACAGTTCACTAAGTCGCAAAATATTACCAAAGTGTCGAAAATTCCAATTCCATGGGACTATGCGTCTCCGATTGTATTCAATAAAATTCAAAACAGATTTCAAAATTATACGTACAAATTTTTCATATATTGAATACTATGTTTTAAAGGGGCTAGAATTCCCCAAAGCTACACCTTCGTGAGTAAAACAGATGCTATGAATTCTATTTGTACATACATATGGATGTATTCGCAATGCTAGCTAAGACGACATGCACTAATAGATATTATAATTGTTGCTTTAGAAGTAATAACGTGACTTGTGAAAAATATTACTAGTTTTACTCGTTTTTTTTTTAGGTTAAACGATGCTTAAATGATATGCCATTTAACTCAGAATGAAATAATCATTTTTGACTGATTGAAAGTGTATATCGAAAGCCCACCTCCGGCTCGGCTAACTTATATGTGAAACTTTAATCGCGTTTTTCTCGAAACACTTTTTTTTTGAATTGGCGAGACAAATAACTTGTACAATTTTAATCCGATTGACTTCAAATTTTGACATCATGTTTATTATTGCATTCCGCAAGGAAGTACGTAGGGGATTTTCGATTAATCAAGTACTTTTTTGTTATGACTAGTTTATTACAGAATTATTGACTAAAAATGCACATTTTCTGTTCAAATCCCTAAAATTTCCATAAAAATCAATATTTTTTAAATCCCCTAGGTACTTCTATAGCTATTGTCATGCAGATTAACGACATTTTTTTTTTGTTTTGTTCCACGACAAGAATTGTAGATGCAAAATGTCACGCCGTGGAGCGCTTTAGAAAAATGGATGAAAAAGAGATCAGAAATATCGGCCATTTCGTGCCGGAAAAAAAATCTAAAAAAATAGTTTCTCATAAGCTTTATATCCGAACTTCATCGATATGTAATTATTTTCATGAATAAATAATAGTTCCACACAAAAAAAAAATATTACATTTGCACATGGTTTTTTACCCGCTACTGTGGCCCCTTAACAAATTATTGAAAACAATTTTTTCTATTTCAAAATTTAAAGAAAAATTTTCAAACTTTTTAGGAATTATATATTATATGAAAATTACTTACATTTATAGGTTTACACTATCTACGTAAGAAATTTCATTTTGTCAAAATTTAGTTTTATCAATATCCGGAAAATATGGCCCAGCGCCATATTTCTTCGATCCCAACTTTCGATATGCACTATTCAGGGTACCATTTTGCAGTTACCGTCTGACCCTTTTGCAGTGGAATAGCAGCGTAAACTGGTATCAATACTTTCGCTGCTGATTTTTGTTGTTTAGACTTTACGGGTGTATTTGTACTTATAGAATCAAGATTCGTCGCCAGTACCGACTTTACTCAAATTGCAAAATTGACCGTTTTCGAATTTGTTTACGAAAAATTGATGAAAATGCACTCGATCCTCTTTCTGGGCCTCATTTAAAATTCGTGGTACCAGATGTTTATACCACGTTTTTTGCGCTAATTATTTTTTTAAACATTATATTGCTATTTCTTGATCTGTGATTGCAAAACCGCATCATTACAATGTATTGTGACGTTTTGGAACTCGCCCAAAATGAAACGTTAAACTACAAGGAGGGAGAGAGGGGGGCTAGAATAAATATAATAAAACTATTCTGTCTTCTTATGACGTTTCCTTTGAAATTAGTTACGGCAAAATACTTTTGTGAGCTACTGTATATGAATTTATTTATATACATACGTATATATATATATATAAATATATAAATATTCACGATAGGTTTGTTTCTATGGAATTCGTTATTTATTCATCGATAAAGCAGTCAGCAATGCAATGTTTTTTAACTTACAAAAGTTTTTACATATACACGTACATACATATCTGCATTTAGAGCAATCAAGCCATACAAACGATAAGTTGTCGAATCATAAGCAAGAGTTAAATTAATTTTATTATTATTTGGTATTTATCCTACATTTATCGAGCCGTATTTGTATACATATATACTCGTATATAATTGGGTTTCATAACCGCTGAAGTGATTTTGGCCGAGCTTTTCTCAATTTGTGGTTTTCTTGATATAGGGGTTGGCAGTTTATTTTGAGTGGCCTCCAAGCAACTGATAGATTTTTATAAGGAATCTTTATTTTATATCTGAAATATACAGTCGCTGCAGGGGTGCGAGATCAGATTTAGAGCTTACGACTCTACACATGGTGGTACGATACGCTACACAATTGGGTATTGCTGCCGCCGTGCTATACTACTACACTTATTCGGACATGGGATACTGTAACAAATATTTTGAAAGCTGGAGTGAATGCATCCATTCAATGTTCAAAAGAACATAAATCTTCCGCAAAACCTTCCTCTCAAAATCTCCTAGTGCTGACTTATTAAATGTCACACTTCTGCACCTACCAGCAGGACGGGACGACTTGAAGAGTTTGTTTTAGTAATTGTACACCCTTGAAAATGTTGCACGTTGTCCATCGTCGAACATGCTTTTATTCTGCAAAGAAGCTTTGGACGCGATCGTTCGAAGTTCGTCATAGTCGGATACTTAAACGTCTGATGTGATCGTTGACGATCCGTTAACCAACCGATGTAGAGCCTTGGATCACGGTTAATGAGAGTGAAAGCTTTAATGGAGCCACTCGCGACTTATTTAATAGTCTGCTGAAGTCTAATTGCAGCGTCTGTTCACCAGAGGTGCGGCTGCGAACGGGCATATATCTTGAAGTAGGCAGCTCGCTATATAAATGTGTAAAAACTTTAAACTTACTCGCCTAGCGAGTTCGTGCGCTGGGTTAGGGGCCCGTCAGGTAGAAAACAGCACCAATGAAAAAGACAACAACACCTCCTGGAATGTCCGGTGATTTGATTTGGACGATGCCGCTGCCCAGTTGGTTGATGCCTCATAAAATTCAAGGCTGACATCACAGCCATCCAAGAAGTGCGATGGGCGGGACAAGGACGAAAGCGAATAGGTATTTGTGACATTTACTACAGCGGCCATATATAGGAGCGCAAATTTGGTGTTGTATTTGTGGTGGGAAAGAGACTGCGCCGTCGAGTACTGGCATTCTCCCCGGTGGATGGGCGTCTCGCCACAGGAGAAGGACGATTTGAAGATACCTTTTATAAGCGCCTAGAGCATACTTTCGAGCGCTGCCGCCGACGCGAAGTGAAAATCGTGCATGGTGATTTTAATGCCAGGGTGGACAAAGAAGATATATTTTATGTTAAAAACTACGAAAACAACCTTCACTGCGAAACACCCCGAAAAGTGAATGTCTGCAGTACTAGATTCCAGCACAAAAAATACATGCAGCTACTAGGCTGTCCCCAGATCGAAAAGCACAAAACCAGATCGATCATGTTGTGAAAGACGGAAGACATGTATCCAGTGTTCTTGACGTGCGTGGACCGCGGACCGAGAACCCAACATCGACTCGCAGCGAAGATACACGTGCGTCTCTGTGTATTGAAGAATCCCGCTAAATAAACGCAAGGAAAGTTCGATATCGAAAAGTTGAAATCACAAAGGGCTGACGAACTACTTTCTACTCGACTTGCACTCCTGCTCTCTGTGAGCACTCATCAGCAACAGGGTATACGGGACCTGTGTGACATTTTATGCTCTTTACGTACAATCGTAATGCTCGAAGTCTATAAATAGATACGACGGCTTACAGAAGGTTTCAAGACCGGAGCAGACTCTTGTAGGACACAAAAAGGTGATCTAGCAACCGATGCGCAGTATATTTAATTTATGGAGGGGACACAACTCCAACCTGCTGAAGGGCAGTGGAAATGGAACACCCGGAGATGGTGAACCCGAAATCCTAATCGATGACGAAGTAAAAGACGTTCCATTACCTGACTATGAAGAAGTTCGAATAGCAATCGCTCGCTTAAAAAACAACAAAGCGGCGGGAGCTGACGGCCTACCGGCAGAACTACTCAAACACGGCGGGGAAGAGCTGACCTGGTGCACGCATCAGCTACTATGCAGAATAAGAACAGACGAAAAGCATGACCGATGATTGGATTTTAAGTGTGCTCTACACAAACCATAAAAAGGGCACGCCGCAGTTTGCGCCAATTATCGTGGGATAAGTCTTCTTAATATCGCCTATAAGGTCCTATTAAGCGTATTGTGTGAGAGACTAAAGCCCACCATCAACAAACTGATTGGGCTTCAGACCTGGTAAGTCAACCTTTGACCAGATATGCAGCATTTGCCAAATATCGAAAAGGCCAGCACCTCTTCGTAGATTTTAAAGCCGTCTTCGGCAGCAGGAATAGCAGCTGGAGAGAATAAGAGTGGCAGAGCTAAATAGACTATGGAACGATGATCTCTACGAGTTATGCGGCGACATTTACATAATCAGCGGCTACGCTGGCGAGGTCATGTGATCCGGAAAGAAACGAATACTCCAGCTTTGAAAGTCTTCAATGCATTACTCGCCGGTGGAAACACAGGAAGAGGAAGACCTGTACTCCGTTGGTAAGATCAGGTAATAAAGGGCCTGTATGCTGGTATTTTCAATTGGCACCAAATAGCAAAAAAGAAGAAACGAATGGCGCAATGTTGTTAACTCGGTTATAATCGCGTAAGCGGTGTCTACGCCAGTAAAGTAAGTAATTTTTTTTCTTCTTACTTTGACCAAAATGAAAACGTTATATGTTCAGCAAATATGAGAAGGCAAAGAGATAGACCCATCACAATTTATACCGATCAGAGTGACAGGTTGAGTTAACTTAGCCATGTCCGTCTGTCCGTCAGTTTCTAATTTACATTTTGGCATTGAAAATCATCGAAATCGGAGTACTATATCTCACACCACCGATTTGTTTAGAAATTAGGCTAAAGACCCAGAAAAGAGGTTGTCATAAAAATCCATCAGCCATGGCCGCTTAAGCGGTTACAGACATGTATACAAAAGTTTTTAATAACAGTTATATTCAATTATTACATATTTTGTTCAAAACTTATTTATATATATATATATATGAAGTCCTGAATAAATGACAAATCAACCCACAGCCTAAACCGCTGGTCATAGAGATCTTAAACTTGCAGTTTGTTTTCTACCTATAATGATTTTTCAGGAATTGGATCTGGGATCGATCTATTTGAGGAATCTACTAAGACTACCTTTTCTTCAGGGAAGTGGACCTGGAACCGATCTAAACGAAAAATTTGTATTTATAGTTTAATTTACAGAATTTGTGGTTTTGTGTCTTGTTGTTTTTCCAACAAATGGAGGGACCTACAGTTTAAACTAAGCCACCTCCAAACGAATGATTTTTTTTTTACGAGAAGCCTTTATTTCATGTCCGAAATACACATTCCTTGTCGAGAGGCGAACACAGTTAGAAAATTTTACTTAATTCTTTATTAAAATTAATTTTCTATAACCTTTTGATGTTGATGGCACCGGGATTTGAATCCGAGCCTTCCGAATGTAAGTACGCACTGCTAACCAGTCGGCTACCGCGGCCGCCGATTTATGACTACACAAACAAAATATATGAGGTTTTTTGAAAACGAAACTATCAACTTTCTTTCTATTTTTTTCAAGTAAACATTAGATCTGCAGACGTGTTGATCAAATAATAGGGTGTTGTATAAGCGGATAAAGAGCAAATTTTAACTATGGGTGAGTTCCGAAACGCGAAACAACGGCCGACGTCGGAGAGCAAGTTTTTCGTGCTAATTATTTTTTTTAACACATTACTTATTTTTTTGATTTGTTTTATATCATCGAAAAGCAACTTACGGATGCACGTTTTAGAACTCGCCCTATGAAATAATAAATATACCTGATAATTCACTGACAAACTCCCGCCCCGATGTATTGTAGAAGAACTCTTATCCAAGTTTTGGAAACATTTCCTGAGCTGTTGCAAAATTTGAGATATTTGTATGCAGGTACACCCATTGTGAATGAGAAGCCCCAATATGTTTAATATTAATATTATTGTTTCAAATATTTGGATGGAGATTTAATAATTTTTTCAATAAAATCTATTCCGGTGGGTAAAAATTGCAATTCGTTGGATAATGTATATACTGGAGGTGATATTATATCCTTGACTGATAGGCATCTAATATTATTAACTTCTATTCGGAACTCAGTCTTTCTCACAGAGGGATGGCGATATGAATCTCCTTGTTCAATGAAGTGTTCAATCTTTTTCACAAATATGCGATTTGAGTCTCTATAAAAGATATCTAATTAGCTTATTTTAGAAGATGAAGTCATTATTATATTTACATAATTATAGCAGCTTCCTCTTGGCACACTAATCTCCATAACCTTAAACCGTCTTTAGCAACTTTATTGCATATCTCATCAATGTGCCTTAACATCTGCATTACATTTATTTTACTTCCACTGAGAAGCGTTTTCAAATCAAGCGGCAAATTGACTTTGAGATTAAAATCCAAAATATGATCTATAGGCTTCCAATATTCTATAAATAAAAGACGTATTTATTAGTATTACAGATGTATAAAAACTTACTTCATCTCAATAATTTTAATAATTTTTTATGGCGAAACTTACTTGTTGGGACTCGACCAGTATTTAAACAAACATCTTGAATGAAAATATTATTTCCAAGTTGGTCTTTGTCTTCGTAATGCATTTCAATAGAAAATGAAACATAATTTTTGTGAATAAACCGCATTATATTCTTTGTCCTCATTTGGTAGTTCAACACCCACTTTGGTAATTCTTTACTGTAAAAATGCATGTAATAATATTTTTTACAATGTGTTTCATAAGCTTACTGCAAACCAAGACCCTCTTGCTGAACAATGTAAGTTAGATTATCAAAAGTTCAGACTCAGTTCGGAGTCTGTGTCAAAGTTAGTTTACTAGTACGCACAGGAAGATAGATATAAAGTGAGCCAGAGCAACATGTTTACATACTTAAAGAAAGCATAATCACGTTGGGTAGTTCACTTTCCATGAAAACAATGCGGCATTAAATTTTACCTTTTAAATGTGTGTTGGTTAAAAACGTATATAAAGTCAATGCCTTCAAGAAAATTAATTGCAATGTGGTGATTGAAATATCTGTTAGTATTGATTAAACTTAAAAAGAAAATAAAAACAGGAAGAAAAAAACTAATAAGTCTTTAGATGAGAATCTAACTCCTCGACTATTATAGCTGGACATAAGTGGGCCCTTTGAGGCAATAGTGGAAAGTCTAGAAGCAGTCCAACCAGCCATCTTACAATGGATAAAGAGTCTGGTAAGCTAACGAGTCCAGACTGCAAGGGCTACAGCGTAGAGGAGCACCTCGGGAAAATTCAAAGGAAAATGACCCAAACTAATTTACGATGCGGACGTACATCGATATTCGAAATCAACCCAAGAAGTAAATAATTTCGGACAGAAAACTTGTGTGGAAGCTGAATATAAAAGAAGGGATGAATAGGGTAATGTTGCCCTTTACGCATCTATAAAGATGTTGTGTGCATTGGTGTTACACAGCAATAATTAAGCCGATATTACTTTGCGATCTAGTACGGTCGACCGCTGCTAAAAAAATCTTGTATAAAAAAAACCATTGGAACGATTACAGAGGATTACTGCATTGTGTATAACAGGGACCAGTAAAACCATAACTAAGAACCACTCCAACAGGGGCATCGATGTCGCTGTAGAGAACACTTAAGTGAATTCTCTTCACTAGAACACTCGGGCATACTTCGATATGCAGGGGATGGACTGCGTATTTTCGCTTCTTCATACAAGATGCATGCATCCAAGCGTTCAACACTGTTATGATCTAGGCATTTTGCACGCGTGTTTTGTTTACGATTTTTAATAAGAAGCGTGGAATATTTTTCATTTTCATTAAACAAATGTTTAAATGAACAAAAATGAGTGAACATGGAGAACAATATATACTAAATGACAATCAATAAATAAATAAGATGATAGTTTAACGCAATGTCATCATTAAGCCCTCTTCAGGACCAACACCTTCTCTAAAAGGTGTGTTTTGCCCTTGAATGATTGGGCCCACAAGCGAAACCAGTATTTGAAAAGTAGGGACGTTCGATGTTGGGAGCATCGTTCTATCTTACAAGTCTGGGCTGGTTGCCCAAAGTATGTGGCCACTCTATATATAGCAGATCTTAAGAGGACTCCAGCTTTACACTGGGTGCATCTAATCGAAATGGAGGAATGGTAGAGTAGTTTGCGGAACACCCAATAGAAAAAGTCCATCGGAACAGGGTTGGATTCTACGCTCTGATAAGGATTTAGATCAACACTGCGAGATTTTTCTCCGTTGGTGAACTTAAGTAATGTGCCTTGTTAACCTAAACCGGGTAGGGCCACCGAAGAAGTAACACCCTTGGCCACTACGCTGGGTAGAGCATGGCGGTGTGAGAATTTACAAAACCAAATTCGCGGAGTGATGTTCAACCAGTCACACGGAAGTCTCTATTTCGTATTGTAAGCTTTATCAATAAAAAAGAAATAAACAAAAAAACAAAAAAAATAAAAATAAATAAATAAATATATATATGTATGTATATATATATAAATATATATATATGATAGTTTATTATATAAAACTATGGTATGTAGCGCTAGTAATATATAATATATATTACTAAATATATATATGTATATATAAATTTATCAATTACTCTGGCTCTGGCTTACGATCAACTGCATTATTCTCAAAGTAAATAAACCCATCGTTCTGCAAAAGGGTCTTCTAGTTGTTTTTATTAAGTAAAAAAAAAAAATTTTTGACAGCGAATTTTTTACCTTAGAGTTTCATTCAAATTTTTGAAAAACATATCCGTTTGTATTGTTTTTACTTTCAATTCATTGACCAGACTTTCGATTCTAAATATTAAAACAAGAAAAAGATATAACTGGTAAAAGGAATTACGACAAAGACTGGCGTACTTACCTCTTAAACGCCTCTATTTCCTTAACAAAAATACTATTCATAAAATCTGTACTTTGTTCGTCATCCGAATCCATGATCGGCTCAAGGGTAATGGACATATTTGCTCCTTTCTTTTCCAATGACTTTCTACGCCAATATTCGTGAACATCTTTCAATTTAGGACACTTGCGAAGTCTCTCTAACCGTTCTAAGCCAAGAGACGGAAATGGTGGCATGGGTGGTAAAACAAACGACTCAGTGGTGACTGACATACTTTCTGAAGTAAAATTTTCCTGGCAATATTTACACCGACGACATATCATTGATTTTTTTGCCTTAGGAGACGTTAAATCCATAGTCTTATTTTTCTCTTCAAGATATGCTGAACAATCTTCAACTGGAACATACTTATGGTTATTGGCGGTGCAATTATGGACAACTTCTACTTCCTCATCGGATGAGAGCTCCTTTGTTTCATTATCCTCCTCAGCATTTTCCGACAATAATGTTTCAACTAAGCTCAAACGCGTCTTATCAATTTCTTCGATTTGAGAAATACACAAAGGTGAAATTTCACGCTCAAGATTAATGAATTGTTTATTAAACACAGCTGTTTTGTTCGAATCCGTTAAATCGTATTTGTCCTCATTTTTATCAATTTTCATAAAATTCGATGTTCGCTGCGCTAAGTAATGTACGGATACGTCCGATATTGTAATTGGATTATCTTCAAAAACACAACCCTCTTTTTTAGAATTTTCATTTTCAAGTAAATCACAATTTTTTATTTTGTAATTTATATCCTCGATTTCAAGATCAACTGTTGTATCGTGAGATGGAATCGGCATGTTTATAACCGAGTTTCGAATTTCGATAGAGGTGGCTAAGGGTGGTAGTTGAACAGAGTCTTTACAAAGGTCCACCACCATTGAAGTATTTATTTTACTCGAAGGCGAATTTAAAGTTTTTGGTTTTTGCTCATTATCTTTATGATTTAATAAAATTGGAATACCACTTTTGAACGATTCTAAGCAGTCCACTTGCCGACCGCTATTTTCGAGTTCCACAAAAGTTTCTTTTTCTGTTTGCATTTGGTTAGAAACGTCCAATTTTATGCTGGTGTTTTCCAAAGAGATACTGCATTCGCCGTACTCAGTAGGAGGTCTAATGGAGTAATAGATGAAATTAATAAATTTAATTGTATGGAAAACACAGTAAAATATTTCTAAAAACTCGAAGAAAACACACATAACAAACATAGGTCAACGAAATGTTAGTTAATTTAAATGGATTAAACAATAATTTATTTTTTAAATTATTAACGTTTTATAAAACTAAATAATTTAAATTTAGCTATACGAGATATGACAATTAAATAATGAGTCTGATTCCATAAAAACCGTATATTTCAAAATTATTCTACAGCACTACCATCCTCTGCAAAGTAGTCCTCTTGAGCAGATATACAACGATTCCAGCGCATTTTCCATGCTTCGTAATATTTCTGGAACTCTTCGACTGGGATGTCTTCAATCGACTCAAAATGGTTTCTTTTGATCACCGATTTTGTACTAAGGAACAAAATAAAGTCACAGGGTGATATATCGGGCGAATAAGGCAGTTGTTGCAATTCGGCGATCCCTTTAGAGGCCAAGTACTGGGACACGCTGAGGGCGGTGTGGCACGGCATGTTGTCGTGATGAAGGATCCAGCTACCAGCCATCCCAAAATCGTCGGTTAAAACGTTTCCGATTTTTTCACGGTTTATACGCAGTTCTGACGCCAATATTCGAATTGTTAAACGTCGATCTTCAAGGATTAGAGCGCACATCTCGACTGTTCTCCCGCTCCGCGCCCGTCCTTGAACTCTTTATGCCATCGAAATATCTGGGCAGGACTAAGAGCACTATCGCCATGTATTTTTGCAATTTTAGCATACGTTTCAGAAGCTGGTTCGCCCAGTTTGACGCAAAATTATTATAAATCGTGACGCGTTGCTCTTGATTTCGTTTTTCCATTTTCGTGACGAGCACCACGAACACACGTTCACTCAACACGACACAGCAGGCAAACTAAACAAGCTAAAGCGATGGCAAATATATCAATGGAGAGAAGAAGGATGCTGGGAACAGATAAATGGAATTTCGAGGTCTCAAGGTTACCACAATTGCGGCGATATAATCAGTCTCATTACTTAATTGTCACACCTCGTACATAAATAGTAATGATTAACTCTGAGCTTTTTATTTTCTGATCGACTTTTACTTTATCATTCATATATTCAATGCGTTTTGAATTTTAATATTTTCTTTCTAAATTATCATTCAATAAAAATACAAACCAAATATTGACGAAAAGTAAAACTTTTATCGGATGAAAAAAAATATTAGTATCAAAAATTAATATTTACTAATGATTGAAAATTTTGAAAAAACTCCAAATAATGATCAAAATAGGCAAATCAATGCTTTATCTGATCGGATCGTACACGCATTTCCTTGCTGCTTTTTTCATAAACATGAAATGGTATATTAACTTGGTCTTGTAAGTGCCCTAGGAAAGGGTACATAAGGATGTGGTTATCATTCTTATCAGAACGAGCTGATACTGGATACCATTGTGACCGCACTTTTTGTTATCTAAACATCAGTTTCATGAAGTTTTTACGTTAAATTTTTCAAATGTTGTGCTTTAGGACTAATTTGAAACCGATAAACCATTTTCCTTCATAATTTTAAAATAAAAATTCAGCAGTTTTGGCTTGTGAACCAAATTTCTTAAAACTTTCTTTACTATAAAGATTATCGTTATGACTTTTAAAATAAATTTTAATCACATAAAAATATACTTACTGGAAATCCAATTTTTTACATTTTGATTCATCAGAAGTGTCCGTTTTAATGATTAGTTCGTTTCCACTATTGATAAGATCGTTTGATTGTATTTTATCGGAACATATAGATTCATCCATTCCAAAATCGTCAAACATAAGTGTTTGCCTTTTTTTAGGTAGTGGTAAATTTGGAGTCAAATGTAATGTAGACCGCTTATTGATTATTTGACAGGATATAGGGCTCACTATCATCGGAATTGCCTGTTCCTCTATTTCGACAGTTTTTAAACCTGCCTTATTAAGGAGGGTAGATTTGCGTGGAACCACTCTTCTATCTTGATTTTCTACATTTTTTTCAAAATCATTTTGATTACATTCTTTTGACAACTCATTTGCGTCCCGAGTGTGCTTAACATTTAAAGTTGTTTCAGTACATTCTTTTTCGAAAGAAATGCGATTGTCCTGCTCCACTTTTCTTTCTAAATATACGAATTCCAGGAAAGAGCGATGTGGAGTACCCTCAATTCGCCGTTTGCAATTACTTGATAAAGCCGTTCTTGCTTCTTTTAAATTTAAGCTGAACGAATCGCTGCCACAGTCACTTGTATCAAGGGCCTTCTGTCGCATTAGAAAAACTTTAGATCCGGATTTAACTTTTGAAATCGGGGTAGATTTAATTGCATAAGCTTCTTTTTTCATTTCATCTATATTTTTATTGTTAGAAGATTGTAATTCTAATGAATAATTATTGGATTCTGATAGAGAAAGTTCGTCGTTTAGGGTAGGCTCAATATCTTGATTAAAATAAATAGTGTGTTTCTTGGTATTATCTTCGTCATTTTGCAAAGCAACTTCATAACATAATTCAGCAGTTTCAAGATCAATGCTTTTCGAAATATCATTTGATATATTTTGAATGTTTGTTCCATTTAAACTCATATCTTGAATTTCATATATTGACTTTCTTATAGATTTATAATTATTATCAAACTGTTCCGGCTTTTTTAATATTATTTCTTTCTCCATACCCAACGTGTTTATATTATTTTCTTGTTCCAACTCTTCCACTGAGGAATAGTTTGTATCGATTTTTGAGTTACAATGAATTGTATTTCTTCTGTACTGATAATCGAGACATATGGAATGGTTGTGTAGAATCGTATCATCGCCCACCTTTTCTTTCACAAGAAAACTTGTACTATCTGATACCATATCTTCGTTTTCAGTACAATCCGCAGAGCTTCTTTCGTTAATTTTGTCGGCAACATTTTCAAAACATTCTCTATTATGAACCTCAGGCTTCATATTACTATTAGAATCAATACAAATATTAGGGATTTGTTTTTCCACAATTTTATTAGGAAATATTACAATTTTTCCACCCCCAATATCATCATTCAATTGACGGAAGTTAAGTTTCTTGTTCATAATTGGTGGAAACAAGGGGGAGTTGAAACTAATGCTTGATAAAATATTACTTTTGATATCCAATTCAACTTCCATGTTTGAGGGACTGTTAACAGTTAAACCCAAGCCGTCGGATTTTGATTTAATTATTGAATCCTCACATATAGGTTGATGATTTTGCAATTCTGGTATTTCCTCACTCAATACCTTTTTATCAGAGGTGCCGAATTTTCTTGAAACAACCTCTTTCGAAGCAAGTGATATTTTTGTTGTAGTATTTTGCGAAAGCGGATGTGGAAGCGATGTATCTTCTTCAACTAAATCGGAATATTCTGCAAGAAAGCCACATAAATCGTCAAATATAACGTAAACTTAAATGTTTAAAAATAAATCCGAAAATAACACTTATACCCTTAAACTTATGAACCTATCAAAATTCTGGATACGCATTAACTATTGCAGACCTATAGTAGAAATTGCGTTATTTGGTGTAATATATAGTTGGTGTTACAATATTTTTTCATTTTGCCTCAGCTGAGGTTAACTTTGTTTATCAATGTTGCAAGCCCTAATTAAATTACACAAATTCTTAATCATTCATAAATTAGTTATTCGTCGAAAAGAGGACCGGTAGCGCGTTTCCACCTGATATTATAATTATTATTAGTTATTTTATCAAGTACAAAGTTCATTAAAAATTTGTTTATTATAATCCAAATCTTGATTACCGGCGAAGCAGGGAATTATTTTGCATTTTTTGTGATAAGTCTTCTTTAATTTTATTCCAAAGATAAATAGCATTAGTATTTTCAGTTCTATCATTTCCAAAGCTTGATATAACATATGGGTTGAAAGTCCCGGGCCTAACACATGTGATCCACATCATGTGACTCACTCCTAAATTGTGTGGAGTCAGTTCGTTGATTCAGCCGAAATAGAGCTATGTATAATTTTCTTGTTAAGTTACTTTTCATATGATAATGATGGAAGCTAAGTAAGTAACATTTTACGTAACTAACTGCACCCTGGTGTGCTCCGCTACACCAAGGCAAATAATAAAGAATGCATGAAATTTCCTAAAGTCACAAACCTCAATCGGCCTTCACCGAGCTGATAATAGAATAAAATATATTTTATAACGAGTGGTTAGCATTGCTTACTGACATTCGGAAGACTCGGGTTCATATCCTGGTGCCACCAGCATTCAAAAGTTATGGAGAATTAATTTCAATAAAAAATGTAGCTAAATTTTCTAACTGAAATAAAGCTCCTCGTAAAAAAACCATCAGCCGTTCGGAGGCGGCTTGATATAAACTGTAGGTTCCCCCAACAACTACGGTGAATGCATCTGGACAATATTTACCAAGGATATTTTAAAGGAAAGGTTTCCAATTGCCAAATAACACTGTTCATCTGTCAAGTTGGCCACCAATACTTTGTGATTTAACACCTTGCGACTTCTTCCTTTGGGGCCACGTTTATGATTATACATATGTACAATACATACGCCCATACATATTGTAATAGGAAAAAGTGGAAGTGACAAAAAGCTATTGAGGGCAACCAGCAGCCACTTTGCGATCCGGTGATAAAAAATTTCATAAAAAGAATACCATCCTGTTGCCAAAACCATGGCGGTTATATGATTGATAATGGCAAATAACACCTCTTATGGGAAACCCCTATTTTTGTTTTTCCTTGTAAAAAATTCAAGCAAAATAGTAATGATTAGTTTCTATTGTGAAACCAATGCGGGGAACTGGAAATATGAAATTGATATATCAGATATCTGTGCAATTCCCCTACAATTTTCAATCGAATATGCAAAGGAATTATATACGATATTTTCCATAACAAAGGAAAAGTAGCTTCAGATGCTTTTTTTCTAATCGTTCCTGTCCTGTTATATGGTGCGGAAGCATGGATGATGACAACATCTGATGAGTTGGCGTTAGGAGTTTTCGAGAGAAATGTTTTGCGTAAGATTTATGGTACTTTGCGCGTTGCCAACGGCAAACATCGCGGACGATGGAACGATGAGCTGTACGATTTATACGGCGATAAAGATATATTCATGTAGTCCGGATGGATGCGAATACTCCAGCTTTGAAAGTTTTCGATGCAGTATTCGCCGGTGGAAGCAGAGGAAGAGGAAGACCTCCACTCCGTTGGAAAGAGCAGGTAGAGAAGGACCTGACTGTACTTGGTATTTCTAATTGGCGCCAAACAGCTAAAATATGAAACGAATGGCGCAATGTTGTTAAGTCGGCTTTAATCGCGTAAGCAGTATCTACGTCAATACGGAAGAAACAATTGCAGTTTCGATGGAAGCTTGCGTATAAAAATGCTCCTTATAGACAAAATTGTTTCCAATTGAATTAATACAGTAATTAGAGTTCAAAAATTGTGGAAACGTATTCGAGATATTATAAAATTCACTTGATGTAGTACTTTTATATATCATGGCGGACGGAAACAAAGGCACTCTACAGCCGAAATTATAAAACTGTTAACCGTAATGATAAGCGCAGTAGCATTTTTTGTTAAGTTCAAAGAACTTGCGACGAAACCTAGAATATTCCATGTAGTCTATATGTAGGCACTTGGTGGCCGAATGGTTAGCATTGTCACTGCTAAAAAATTAATTTTTTTAATTGCGGTAGCCCCTCGGCAGGGAATGTCAAGCCCTTCTAGTGTATTTTTGACAGTTCGCAGGCGACTTATAATAAACTGTACGTCCCTCCATTTGTCGCAAAAACATCAAGATGTATAACACTAATTGGAGGATTGCGTGGTAAATTTTGAAATAATTTTAAAATTGTATTGTCAAAATGAAGAACAACTTTTTCAACATTACTATTATAGTCAATTTAGCTCTTGATTTAACTTTTTTAAGATAGCTTTCGCGAAGTTTAAACGGGAAATTAAACCATATGGCAATGACACATTATTAACAAGGCGATCACACATGGTCATGAATGAATTGAAATAATATTTTTTATTGAATTATTTGGCTGGTCATATAGAGATCAATCCGACTGTGGAGGTACGGTACAGTATGAACTCCGATACATTTGAATTCAAAGGAACCTTCTAAAGAAATTCATACTTCCTCTGAGTCTATATAGGAGTAGAACTTCATCGCCGATTCAATTCAAGCGCTCACATTTATAAATTTGATATTCATTGGATAAAATCTCATTAAGTAAGTTAACCAATTTTCGATAAATGAAATTTCGTCAAAACTATATAAAATCTCATTACAAAAAAGCAGGAGATTTTAAGGGGCACAGCTAGTGTGAAATTTCAAAAAAAAATTGATCCTTTTTTCATATTTCGGTAGATTACACCTTTAAAAATAACATATTAAAATTTCAAATCGATATCTCAAATAGTTTTTGTACTATAGCAATTTAAAGAGCAGCCGCTCGGCAGGGGCAGAGTTAGAGTTTTTTTTTTTTAGATTTGATCCACGGAGAAGGCCGGAATCACTGCAGCAGACCTTCGTTTTCGCGTCGTTGGAGATCGACTATAACTTAAAAAATATTTAATTTTTTCCTTCAAAAAAAAGTTTTTTTTTGATCAAAATTAAATTTACGAATATTTAGGTTCCTAGTATTTAATATTGACGAGAAGTAATGGCTTAGATCATCAACAGTTGTATTATTTGCAAACCTAGGCTCAAGAACTTGCAAACTACGATTTTCATGCGCTTCAGATGATCTTTGCACCTCGGAAGTAAACGGTTATTCAACTAGAAAGCAGACAACTAAAATAAAGACATATTTTAAAAATAAGGAGCTGGAAGTGAAAGTTTTTCATGAGTACAAAGCAGGCCACGATAGTCGAGTGATTAGCACTGCATACTACCATTCGGAAGGCCAGAGTTCGAGACCCGTTCGACCAACATCCAAAAGTTATAGAAAATTAATTTAAATAAAATATTAAAAAACCATCAACTACTCGGAGGTGGCTTAGTATAAACTGTAGTTCTCTCCACTTGGTTGGAAAACATTAAGAACCATACCATTGGCCGAAAATCGCTTCAACGGTTTATAGAAAGCAGTCCTTCCTTTTGGGGGTTAGGGGTACTGTTCCATAAAACAATACAATAAAAAAAATATAATAAAAAATTAATAATAAATAAGTATAAGAAGAAAAAACTATATTAATAGAACTTAAAATATGGAAAACATTCAATGGTAACAATTTGACAAGCGTACAAATTTTAATAAACAATTTAAAAGACACTGTAGAAAACAATTTAAAAATCTTGTGTTCCGACAGTTAAAAAATAGTACACAAACAGCTGTAAAAAAATAATAATAAAGCAAATTCGAGTTTGAAAAATAAATGCTGGCGGAGTAAGTAGTAAAATCGTTAGTCAAACATCTGAAATGGTCGTGCATTTTGAAGTTTGTTTTACAATAAAAAAAAAATAATAATTTTTTCTTGAATAGTCGAATGTGGCATATTCGAAATAATTAATTTTTGATAATTTCAAGGTAAGATGCAAAAATTATTATAGTTAAAGTACCTCCTGCGGGTTAGGGGCTCAAGAATTTACCCGCGGTAAGGCATGCCTGTCGTAAGAGGCGACTAAAATCCAATAGTTCCCGCGACAGTCGGGTCTTTATACCGGAACGACCCGGATTTTTATCCGGCCAAGGACTGTCACTCCCGCAATATTCCCAAAAAAGTACTCTAGGGAATAATTTTGCGGTTACAACAACAACAACATTATAGTTAAAGTCATTACGAAAATTTTAAGTCTATTATCATACTACTCACTATATTCTTGTGGCTCTGTGTTGAGTACATCCTGAAGCTTAACAGGCTCTTCTACATTCATGGAAATATCCATGGTTACGTTCTTATTAGTTGACTTTCTTTTATTTGTTTTCTTTCCATTATCCATTGATTCAAATGTAATTGATGAGAGCTGATCTTTGAAACTTCTTGTAATTGTCTCGATTTCTTCATCGTTAACCATTTCAACATTGTTAATTGTTTGGAGAGTTACATTTTCCTCTTTTGATATATCCATTTCCATCGATTGAATTATACTTAGCCTCTTATTAGCATTGGTCATACTCCTGTCATCCACTACCATAGCATCATTTCCAAAGTATGTTAATTGTGATTTTTTTGCTGCATTCTCAACAATCACCTGAAATTAACGTAAAAATATACATATTTATATGAATAAGTATATATGTGCATTTCTACCATAAAAAATATTTAAAATTAATACGTATTTACGCGTGTATGGCTTAAATATATTTAAAATAATTTTAACACTAAATGAAAATTCTTATTTTACAAGAAACAACTCGGGGTTACGGAAATATTGGTATTTGGATAAATTAATTTGAAAATATTAAATCTTACATTTCTATCGTAAGTCTTTATTAACGATTAATGTATAATTTTCATCAGTTAATGGAATAAACATTCAAACTTCATTGGGCATAGATCTAATATCAGAGATACTATATATATGTACATACAGTATGTTAATTAATTGTTTGCAAAATGAAAATAAATCAAACAAATAAATTTTTCAACTTGAAACTTGGTACATAGGTAACCTTTTGATCAGGTTAGAAGAAAAACTAGTTTCCCTGATGGGAAATGGGCCAGGGACCAACCTAATATATTTATATCATCCCATTATTCGATTTAGTCGAAGTTTGGTGATTATGTAGCCTTTTGCTTAGGAACACTACTTTTGCTTTCAGAAATTGAACCTCAGACCAAATTGCTTGGTCCATTCCATAACCCGATGGTGAAACATCATACTGACTTAATCTGGCATTTTATATGAAGGCATGCGCAGACGTAAACGTGAAATATATAAATACATATATATACAAGTATATTAAGTTAGTTTCCCCTGAATTGAGAACGGATGACTATTTTGGCAAAATTTTGTTAAATTATTCGTATTTAATGAAGATTTTTACGATAGAAACTATCCGTGCGGGTAATGGGTTCAATAATTTACACGCGGTAAGTCAAACATGTCGTAAAGGCGACTGTAATCCAATAGTTCCCGCGAAATTGGGTCTTTAAACCAGCACGACCACGATTTTTTATCCGAGCAAGGACTGCCACTCCTGAAACATTCCCCAAAAACTACTTTGGAGAATATTTTTGCGATTACAGGTATTACGCATTGGTAACCACTTAGTTGTTGCGTCCACCAATACTCATACCAATAAAAGTTATTACAAATTTGTTAAATATCTGTATTTGTAACATTGTTGAAATAAGTAATATGGGTGCCATACTCCATCAGTTAATGTTCGAAAAAGCCCATTATGGATAAAAATGCCATACGCTTCTTTTCTTCTTTTGTGTATTAGTTTTAATATAAGTATGTGTTTCGATTGGAAGCTTACCTCATTTCTGATTTTATAAAATGAAATATTTTCATCAGTGTTCTTAGCATCTTCTTTACCCATACAAGATGATTCATTGCATTTGTTCAAAGATTCTAAGCTCTTTCTTCTGTATAAACTTTTGTATTCGCAGGTAGAATTATTAGAAGCAATATTTTCCTTATAATCCAATGAAAGATTATTTGGTTTCCCTTGAGTCTTACTAATTGCTCCTTTCATATAGCCTTCTGAACTACCGTCAGAAGTGTTGATGTGATCTGATACTTCGTATGAATTGTTCCAGGTCTTGGGCTTCTCTTCTGAATGGAATTCCCTAAACATATAAAGCGAACATATAATATCAATTATATAGCATGAAATGAAAATGTTTACCTGACTGATTTCCTGCCAGAAAAACTTATACGACGATTTACTCGAGATGTTTCAACCGAGCTTCCAAATCGTTTAATCCCTGTAGTGTCTGGGTGCTTAAGCTGCAAGAACAACTCTTAAAGACCTTTGATAGTAAGCATATTATTTAACTTACTGAACTTCTCCTTTCTCCTCGCTTAGATTCCATCGTAAATAAAACCAATAAATTAAGCGGCAATTTCCAGTAAATCAAAATTTAAAAACAATTAGTACTGCACTATTGTTATCGATTTTTCGACTGTAACTTTATTGCGAGCTTCCACGAACAAACATACTGGTGAGAATATATTGTGAAGCTTTTCTCTAAGCAGCTTCGATTACTGGAATGTTAAACACTTATTCAGACTTTTTTGCAAACACCCAGTTTATAATATTCTTCTGTAGATACACAGTTTACTACTCTTTAAGTGTAATATTTACAAAGTTATATACTTAGCCGAACACACCAAAGTGAAAACGCACTCTTCTTATATAACTACAGATTGCTAGTATGTATCTTGTAGGAGATTCTAAAATTCTGTTTGAATGTCCTCTATAACGAATGTTCATGTAAAAAGCTATAGAAGGCTAAGGTATTTATTTGAGGCATTACGAATACCGTCACGAGGAGGAAATGTAGAGAAGGAAGAAGCTGTTGGATCTGTAAAAGAACAATATAAATTGAGGAAAAGGGTCCTAGTACATCTACTGGTCTATTCATAAATGTGCTATTGGATGACATCACAGGAGTCAGAGGGAGACAGGATCAAATCAAAGAGAGAGAGAGAGATATGCGGTTTAATTGTTCAACAGCTCCACCGAACACTCTTAGGTTGGAATAGATTGATCAAAATTATTTGTTTGAATGCTATAAATTCAACTCTGTCCAATTTTTGGGAACGAAAGCTTTCTCTTCCATCTGGTTCGCTATTCGTTTGTTATTTTGAAACGTACATATAAATTCGTTTTCCGCTAATTTCATCATTTGTTAAAGACACGCGTAATAAACTAACGGAGTTGAAAACTTTAGAAAGCAATTCTAATATCAACTTTGACTTGATCTAATGCGTACGTCTTTTAAAAAATAAAATTGTTCGATTTAAATTGACATGTTCGTTCCAAACGCCAGCGATTCATTTACTGCGCGAAATAGAGCAAAAATACATTTTTTTTGTCGGAGAAAACCCTTTACATGTCTTTCAGCTCCAGAAAATACGGGCACGACAAATAACTGGCGTATTGAAGGTGGAGCCTTTAAATTGCGAATAAGGCAGAGCACAATCATAGGAATGAATGACTTATACATCAAGCTGGGACATTTGCTCACATACCCGAAAGGGTTGCAATCCCAGGTTGACCAGCTTACAATGCACACCGTTTGGAGGAAAGATGTAACGAAAGAGTTCACTGCACCACAAGAATATGTATTTATCTTAACTTTCCCTCTAGGACGTTAAAAACTTCCTTCACAAACTTCAATTCATCGGCAAACGAAGCTTACTACCGAAAAGTATCTATAGTGGTGCTTTACTTGATTGTACTCCGCATCGATATCCCATCAGGCATTCTGTGACTATCCCAATCAAGCTGATAATTGATGTCTACGGTTTTCCTCAAACGCTTTTCTAGAGTTCGGTTAAAATGTTCAAGAAAGTTATTTTGTTGGGGATGCAGAGTTGTCTTTTGGGTTTTCCGAATACCCAGTATTTGGCACATATCTTGGAGCAGCGTCGATTAAAAATTATTTTCTTCTGGTGCATGGTAACTCTTCTCTCTAACTTCATCCTTCCCCAGTAGAACCGCGGTTTAATCTTCTTCGAGTTTTTCTTAAGCCGCAGGTGCACTCCATTGGGAATGTTGTGAAATTCATTTTTAATGGTTGTATCGTGAAATCTTGAATCTTAACCATTTTCTGTTTTATTCCTTCCGGAAATATTTAGCTGTCAATGATCATTTATTGCCACCACCACTATCTGTTCTGTTAGCGGCTCTTATACAGTTACTCACAAATGAGTATACATAGGTTTTCGTAAGACAAATACACAAACTATGCAAAATTTAGTGAATATATTTGAATTTTTTTGATGCAAATTTGAAGCTTGAACTATTATCGACTATATTTTAAGCTAAATTAATTAATTTATTTAGCATTAAGAAAAACTTAAGCGAAATTGAGTATACACACACATTTTAAATATGGCATCTTTGTATATCTTTTTGTCCGTTAAGTGATCACGTTAGCACTTAAGTACATTTCAAAGATTTTGTTGCGTGTAAGCGTAGTGCGTATCTAACGCAATTTATTGTTTTTTTGTGCATTTCTTTCACCATGGCTGGTACCAGAGAGGAGAGAACTGTTGAAATAAGAGAATTGGTGATAAAATTGTCCTGTGAAGGTAAATCGTACAGACAAATTGGTGAAACTATTGGCAGACCTAATTGCACAGTTCAAAAAATTATAAATATATGGAGATATGGAGGAACGTTACTAAATTACGGTGGGAAAGGCCGCAAATAAATTTTAACTGATGTTGATGAACGCAATATTGTACGTAAAGTGGAAATAAACCCAAAGATAAGTGTTCCATACTATTACGGTTTACTCACTATTGTGTACTCGCGTTCCAAAATATGCCTTATGATCAATTTTCACCTGTCATTCGTGTATGGCGTGGTAAGCATTAAGCATTTTTGACATATTAGGTTGTCAGTCATATTCTGGGGAGACCTTGCCTACGACTGAGGAAAAAAAGAAGGTTTAGTGGCAACGCTTCATATGAAATGTCACTTTGGCGCCATGTTACAAGCATTGATCAATTTGGCATTTGCGCAAAATTTACCTACATGCGGTAAAACAAGGGGCTGTTATTTTTATTAATTGAATACATTAATTGTGTACTTCAGTATTGAAAAATTATCGATCCTGCAAAGAATTAGTAAATTCTTACTGTGAGAGCATACTATAGTATTTTGACAAACAGCTCGTAAGGATTTACATTTGGATCGAATATGGTAATTTTAGATATAGGTGTTTGAGGAAATGGTATTAATAGTATTTTCTAGTCTGACGACGTTATTATGCATTCGGGAACACCTGACAAATCCCATAATGAAGCTGCTTTAATTGCGAATAACATAAAGCAAAATGATAATTCCATATCACGTTCAGCTACAGCAGAAGAAATGACATCGAGGGACTATTACTTTGATTCGTACGCTCATTTTGGCATTCACGAAGAAATGCTTAAAGATGAAGTGCGTACCATTACATATCGGAATGCTATGTATCACAATAAACATTTGTTTCGAGGAAAAGTAAGAACCAAATGTTACTTGGTTTATTTATAATTTTTAAACAAGCATAACGTTAGGTTGTTCTTGATGTTGGGTGCGGGACCGGTATATTGTCAATGTTTGCTGCGAAATCTGGAGCAGCGAGAGTTATTGCAGTAGACTGTTCAAATATTGTAGAGTATGCCCGGCAAGTTGTGATAGACAACAATCTTCAGGATGTCATCAGTGTCGTAAAAGGCAAAATAGAAGAGATCGAACTGCCTCCTGGTATAGAAAAAGTTGATATAATTATATCTGAGTGGATGGGGTGAGTCTTAGTACTTTTTTATCTTATAACTATATATATTTAATTTATTCAATTATTTAGGTACTGCCTATTTTATGAATCAATGCTAGACACCGTTTTGCATGCACGTGATAAATGGCTTAAACCAGATGGTATGATGTTCCCAGATCGTGGTACTTTATATATAACAGCAATTGAAGATCGGCAATATAAAGACGAGAAAATTAATTGGTGGGATGATGTGTACGGATTTGATATGAGCTGCATTCGCAAGGTTGCAGTGACAGAACCTTTGGTGGATGTAGTCGATCCGAAACAAGTCGTTTCTACTTCTTATATGGTTAAAGAAGTAGATTTGTATACAGTTAAAAAAGAAGACTTGGAGTTTTCCTCTCCATTTAACCTTATTATTAAGCGCAACGACTTTGTGCAGGCACTGGTAACATACTTCAATATTGAATTCACTAAGTGCCACAAACGATTGGGATTTAGCACTTCCCCCGAAGCTACATACACACACTGGAAACAAACAGTGTTTTATCTGGACGATTATCTTACAGTTAAAAAGGGTGAAGAAATAGTTGGGACATTTAAAATGAAACCCAACGAACGGAATAACAGAGATTTGGATTTTGTGATTGACGTTCGTTTTAAGGGTGAGCTCTCCGATGTTCACGAGCACAATACATATAGAATGCGTTGATGGTAAACTCCAATGGGTGTGTCTAATTGATGCGAATAAAGATTTTATAAAGCAACTACTTTGTCAGTATATCCACCAAATGAGAACTGGTGCAAGCAATAACTGTTTTCAAGATTATTTGCTCAGTCGTTAAAATAATTCAGTAATATAATTACCAGCACTTATTGAATCATGAAAATTTTTACGACTTGAACAATTAAGTTATTGTGAATATAATATTTAAATGTTATTAAACATAACACACGCGGATATAAATAAAAAGTATAATTGCATGAAGCGTTTTTTTTTTTTTTATTTGTTTGTTTCATCTTTAAATACTACCCTAAATTTTGCAAATGTAAGTTCCTGCTTTGTAACTATATATGTAAGCATATGTATTTACTTCCTTGAAAAATAAATCGTACCAATAACGGGATATCTTAAGGTTGACACTGGCATAAGTCAAATTTTATTGTGTGCATGGGTCGCAGCCCAACTTGGGATCGCTCGGAGGAAAAGAACCCGCTGAAATTATTTTTGACCGAGCTTCTAATATGTTGTATTCGTCTTGATGTTTTTCTCCTGCTAAATAGCGTATTTTTGCAAATTATTTATAAATATATGCTGTAATTCAGATAGCACTGTTAAATATATTATAACAGAACAATTCCTGATGGGGGAGATACATTTGGTATCGTTGGAAAGGTAAGTTTTTTTTGATGTTCAGATATCAATACTTTCTGAACAAAAATTTTGAGAAAATCCAGTAAAAAAAAACATACAATATTTTTTATAGATAATATATTTTTTCTTAAAAATTCGTCTTATTAACCATGAGCCAAACTACCAGAAATAAAAAGAGCATGAAAATACTTCTATTTGTAACCCTAGGCCGAACCAACAGCACAGTATTCCTGACTGACACTTGCAAATTTATGAGTATAAGTATGGTTGGTGCTCGTTATTAGCACAATTAAAACAAAATTGAAAAGTGACTACAAAGTGTCAATTATAGGTTTTTTATTATTTTTTCAACTAATTTTGTTTTAAGATTGATTTATTACATAATATTTTAAGAAAAACTAGTTTTTCTATAAAAAAAAAAATATATGTTTTTACTACTAAATTTTTTTCCAATATTTGCTGCCAAAAGTATAGGGATTTGTACATCAAATTTAAGGAAATTTCGTCCCCGTTCCAGCGATAGCAAATTTATAAAACTTGATCTACAGCGTTTTATAGCTATTGAACATTGCCTCTTCGAAAAAAAAAGTTTGCCACAAAAAAATTTATATAATTAAAATCCTGAAATCAGAGCGGACCACGACCATTAATTAATCTTGTTCTACCTTAACGCTTCTGCACTTATACCAGAAAAGTAAATTTCTTTCTTTGGGCGAATTAGGCATCTTACTCTCTAAATTTCGTAATTGTCTAATTTTTACTGACATTTCTCAACGAACACAGCTAATGTATTTGGGATGCCGTGGAAATATCGTATAAGTTATTATCTGTTATCGATTGTACTTTAAGCCTATCAATTGCACCTAAATACCAAAATAGAGAAGTCGAGCAATATTTATGATATAATATAAAAATGCGGTTTACAAATAGTTTGTGGGCGCAACATTTAGGATGGACATTCAAGAGACATTGGTTAGTTCAAGGAAAAAGAATACCTCGTGATACCGGAGCTGCCGCAGAGTTAGAAAAATGTGGAAAATTGGTTAAAAGCTTTGATTTAGTGGAGTCGCAAAAAAAGTCAATTCAACATGAAAGGTAGTAGTCCTGATTATTAAAATTTATTTATTTTAATGCAGGTTTAATTGTCATTAAGCATAGATTACATGCGTTTGAAAAAGAAAAAGATACACATGACCGATTGCAAGCAACGCCGGGATATTTATTTGGTAACAACAATGTGTTGGTGGAAGGATTGCCCCAAGCTCTTTTGCTTACTAAAACCATTGAGATATCTGATTTACCAGAGAGCCTACAACAGTCTGTTAATAATATTCAATTCACGGCGTTACAGGAACGTGGTATCAAAATGGCAATTTTGGGTTCCAATGTATTTTCCGCAGATCAAGCAAAACTGCCAAAAAAGCGAAGTCACCTACGTCCTGAATATAATCTGCCACGAGAGTATAGTATTCCAAAGGAACGAAAAATGTAAGTATTATTTTTTGAGTTTATTGCTAAGTCAAAGTTATTTACCAATTACAGAACATTGTTGTTAAACAAACTTCTAACGGAATGTGAAAAATATGCTGGCCCGAATATAACTTCCCAACGCCGCTTAGTCAATAATGTTAATTTTAACGTTACCGTGCTAAAAAATGAAACTTTATTGCAATTTGGAATTGACGCCCAGAAGATGATTACTTCAAGTCGTCCTATTAAGCCAATCAAAGGCAAATATGATGGAGAACTGCCAGATTTACATCCTTTGAAATGTACAATATCCCTACCCAAACACAGCATATACGCGAATGAAACAAGTTATCGTAAGAAAACTAAAAAATATATGCATGCATATGTTATTTGAATTTAAAATTTTCTCTCAGCATTTAGCACGAACTTAGGTTGCTCCCATCCCCATACAATATTTCTGCAGTTCGATAACGAGAAAGTAAAAAATATACATGATGTGGAAGTGACTAATTCTCAATTTCAAAGTCGGAACATGTTAAAAGCATTTAGTGTAGCCGCAGCGAGAGCTAGACAGCTTTATGGCGTATGTAACAAAAAAAAAAACCCTATAGAGATCAAAGCTTATTTTTTTGTTTTCTTTCAGAATACCGCTGTTGATTTTTCTAACCCCATCGTTGTTCAAAGTATACAGACAGATGGACGTACTTTTCATTTTGGCGTATTCCAATTAAACACCTTACGTCTTGATGACTCGGAAGGTGTTAAGAATTATTGGTTTAACACATGCAATCAGGATCTATTTCATACATGTCAATATGTTACTGGAAAGCCGGTTTTGGAGGATTTCAATAGGGATGTTCTTCGATACTTGTATGCATTCTATTGCAATTCATAATCGATTAAAGGATGTAATTCCATATATATGTAAATAAACTTGAACATTTACACATATGACACAATACAGAAATCAATTTGCTGATTTCATTACTTAAACATCGGGTTGACTTTAATATAGATCCTGTGGGTTTTTTTTTATGAAATATAGTTGTAGAAGGTCTACAATTACCAAAAGTATAAATATATTTTTCAAAAATTAATAACGTTTCAATTAACAGCTCTTATACGTAGAGAGCCTATTTATGTTTTAGGGTGAGTTCCAAAACTTCTGTTGCAAAGTTGCAACTATGCAAACTTTGACGATGTATCATGTTCCAAAATGCATAAGTGAAGTTATTGATGTGCAAACATAAGCAAACTACGCATCGCTAAAAAAAAGGAATAAAATTTACAGTCCTATTCTCACTGTTACCGGAAAAGAAAATTTTGTCACATTTTTTTAGCACCCGAAATTGAATTTGGTATTCTGGCGAACTGGTTATAATGTTTGAAAAATGTTTGGCAGCACTGCTTTTTTGTCCTCGTCAAATTACATTTGCCGGTTGGTAAGGTAAAAAAAAGAATATTCGTATATATTTTTGCATTTCGTTTATTGTTGGAAAGCAAATTTTCCCGGTTTTTACTTTGACAATCACATTTAAAATATAGTGCAGTGATCGCGAAACAGAAGGTTTGTTTATAGAAGTTAGACAATTGCCGCCAACGAATTCCTGATACGACCCGTGGGAAAAGAAATTTTGTTGTTGAGAGAAGCCTCAAATAAAGCGGCAACGATGTCTTCTCTCTAAAGAAATTTTTGATTTAAAAATTACATATGAAAATGAATATCTCTCCATTGTCATATGGTGCCGATTCGTTTATAAGCTCTAAATAAATTGTATTGTTCAGGCGAAAATACTGAATGACAAACAAAAATGATGATAATTAATTTAAAAATTTGAAAATAAACCAACTTCGTCATTAAGCATATGATTTCTCTCTTGTCATAACCTTGATTGAACGACATGTTCCAAGTAATTCCGAAATAACAGGCTTCAGAGCTATCCCATATCATGTGTTGCCATATTGTCTAATGTAAATCAAATGACATGTCCTGTCAGAATACATCATGCGGAGAGCTCCATGAGGCGCAGCTGAGCGCTGGCAGCATGCGGTCCCGCAACGCGGACCTTTCCCTATGTATCTTAAGACCTGCACAGGACTTAAAATTACTCCAACCTTTGCATCGAGAATGATGTTCCGCTTATGCACTTGGATTAATGTTATCTGCTGACCTAAGAGAGGTTAGGTCTCCGAGTGGTGTATACCTTTTGTCGAAAAAAGTTCAGGTCAACTGTGTTGCATAGAACTGCCTATCGTTAGAGTTGCGCTTTTTTGTCTTGGTATTTACCGGTGTGTACTGGAAGCCCTAATGTTAGATCTCTACCACCTCTTTTAGTAAAGTCGCTATCTTGTAGAATTCCACATTATAGCCCTTTCCCATGGTTAGATAAAATAAAACTCAATAATACGTAATAATAATAATGATATAACCCGAAAGTTTAATTTTCTCTGCGATTGAAAAGGGAACAAAAGAATAAATCAGCGAAACTGGAAACTGACGAATTGCATGTCTTGTGAATGGGGTAATTCGTGTGGTAACTAAGTGAACGAACAATGTAATTCACGATGCCGTGGTACAGCCATATTATTTCATAATTTCAGAGATGTTACACTGTTCAGTTTTATTGCACATCGATTAAATATCGAAATTTCTTTCCTAATTTAGGCGCGAATTGTGTTCAAAGAATGTTGTGGTTGTCCCTCTGAGTTTTGATCTGCATTGCCCAAGCCGTGTTGTGAATCAGTTAATTTACGAAATTTAATTTTTATACAATTAAAAAAAATGGAAGGATTTGATGAAGCTGGTGTTTTCTTCTCAGATAATTTTGGAGGAGAAAATCAACAGGATGGATCTCAAATTAATATGCAAGCAGTTAAAAAGAAATATAAAGATTTCCTCCGAACCTTTAGTGAAGATAATTTTTTCTACAAATACAGGTAAATTATAAATAAGACCTTGAAAAAATTCATGTAATTATATAGGAGTACACAATGATTTTACTGCTCCAAGTATTTAAAATATATAATCTACAGTACTTATTGTATGTAATGGTTTCGACCATCGTGCCAATCTGCAATTTTTAATAGTTCTTCGTATGTAATGTTCGATGTTTTCCAATTGGTGGTATGTACTAAGAATTTTTATTTCACTGGAAATTGATGTCAAAGGATTGTAAGTATTGCAAAAGATTTTTGATAAATTCTTGTAAAAGAATCTACATATTTTTCAAATAAACTCTTGGACATTTATATAAAAAAATTTATTTTATTAAAATTGCCGTTCAAACTAATTTTCATGTATTGAGATGGAATTTCCGTGAGTTTTGTAAATATTGTAATTAGTTATTCCCGAAAGAAATGAATATAAAGATAGGTGTGCTCATTTAGTGTGGAAACGGCAAGGATATTACAAATCTTATGTGACGATAGGAAAAAATAAATAAAAATGTAACTCCTGTGGGTTAGGGGTTCAATAACTTACCGTAAAAGGCGACTTTATACCGGATATTTATCCTGGCAATGAATGTCCACTTTTGGGGAATATTTTTAAGGTTACAACAACAACAACATAGTAACAAATCTATTCCCGGGTAGCATTTTTTTTGAAGGGCAACAAATGCAAATCCGGTTTTAGTCCAGTCAGGATTTTTTTTCGGATCTTCCAAAGGCCGTTAATGAGAAAAGGATAGTGGTGAAATGGTGTTACAATCGAAAACACGACCGAAAGCCGCCAACTTATAAAGGTGTTTTACTAAAGAATACTGTGCAAAGGTTACAATGTAAAGCGCGGCCGAAGGTCTCCAATTTACAAAGGTGTTTTATTTAATAATACTGTGCAAGGCGAAGGGGAAAAATAAATATAACTTTTCAACGGCAACCTAAATACTTACAAGTTATACATGAAATCAAAGATAATTTTGTACTCTATTTAATTACTTTATTTTTAAGTAAGGTAAATAATAAATATTTTTAAAAAAATAATAGTTTTTTATAAAAAAAATAAATTTTTTTTAACTTTTCTCTTTTTGTTAAAAAATGTGGATTTAATATGTACATATTTCGGTTAATTAAAGGGTTTTTAATTACCTGTCCATCGGTACCTTTCTTATGAAAATCAGTTAAGTAGTTTTGAAAATATGGTAATTTTTAAAAGTTAGGAGGTCCCTCCTTTCTCACCACTTGGTGCCCATTATATTCTTTTGCCCAAGAAATGTTATATACTATTAAATTGGTGGAAAAGAGGGAGATCACGCCAACTAATTAATTTTTACCCGTGTGAGGAGTCTGCATTCTGCACTTGTGAATATGATTGGACCAAACGCAAAGGAAGGCTTAACCCTAAACTTTCCATAAATCTCAAAACCGATCTGTACCCTACCAGACTTTCTTTTATTCTTTGTTTATTATGCGAATTTGATGTTTGAAGCAAATCCATAAAGAAATTGTTTTTATTTGGAATTTTTTTTAAACTTTTTTTTAATTTTTTTTAATTTTTTTTAATTTTTTTTTAAATATAAAATATTTCTTACTTTTAAATGTAGACACTAATATATGTAAAAATGTCCTATATTCAAACTAATATAGATTGCAACATTGTTCCAGCTTTTTGCTTAAATTAAATTTCCCAAAATCATGCAATAAGGATAATCTCTTTCTTTAGTAAGTTTACGTGTCCTTTTGTGTATTTTCGCCATTCTTTTCGAACAAACAGAATAAAGTCCTACAAGAAGGCGCTGATATCCAAACAAAACAATATTGACGTAATATTGTCGTAAACGAATGCAGGTATGCGGCTTAAGTCGCTTAAAAAATCAAAATTACTTTCAAAAAATATATTTTACAATTGAATATAAGTCCCTAACTATCTGGACCCATACTGCACCATACTGCAGGTTTACAGTGAGAATTTTAGGTAAAACATCGTAACGTTTTTGATAATTTAAAAATTAATTATATATACATATATTTCAACTTAAAATGCACATATACTCCCTTCTATTTACTTTTACAAATATTTGGTTATCAAATATATTTAATTACATTATTTCAATTTCATTGGTTAAAAATCAAATATCAAGCAAAGTGAACCATAAGTACGGCCCACGTCCACTTCCCGGAAAATCCTTTTTTTTCTCTCTTCCTACGTTACACATAGAACACATTCTCCTTTCGTGTCTATACTATCAGTCCTTGAGGCTTTGGTATATAGATATGGTGTGCATAAATAAGCGGCATCTATCTTTTTAGATGTTTGCATTAAAGAAAGTACTGTATTACATTTCAATAGGACATTGATATCTATGTATGTATGTTCGTAAAATAATGTACAATTTTATTAGAATACTGCAACCAAGCGAGCAACAACACAAATTTTAATTTTAACTTAATTTTATCTTTATTTTCAGAGATACTTTAAAGAGGAATTACTTAAATGGTCGGTATTTTCTTGAAGTCGAAATAGAGGACTTAAATGGATTTGATGAAGTGTTAGCTGACAAATTATGCAAACAGCCAACGGAGCATTTGCAAATATTTGAGGAAGCAGCTAGAGAATTTGCAGATGAGATAACGTCGCCAAGACCGGAACAAGAAGAACAATTGCATGACATCCAAATTCTGCTTTCTTCGCAAGCTAATCCTTCAAACGTACGAGATCTAAAATCTGACATGGTTTCTAAGTTAGTAAAAATCGCTGGTATTATTGTATCAGCATCTGGTATTAAAGCGAAAGCCACCAGAATGTCGATTATGTGTCAGTCATGCAGCACAGTTATTCCCAATTTAAAAGTTAATCCTGGCCTAGAAGGCTTTTCGCTACCTAGAAAATGTACATCTGAACAAGCCGGACGTCCGCAATGTCCATTGGATCCATTTTTTATAATGCCTGATAAATGCAAATGTGTCGATTTTCAACTTCTAAAATTACAAGAACTTCCCGACTTTGTTCCACAAGGTGAAATTCCTCGTCACCTACAATTATTTTGTGAAAGATCTTTGTGTGAACGTGTTGTTCCCGGCAATAGGGCCCTCATTCAAGGCATTTATTCTATTAGAAAAGTTGGAAAGCCATCTCGACAAGATGGACGAGAAAAAGCTGTTGTAGGAGTACGCGCGCCTTACATGCGGGTTGTGGGAATAACTGTGGATACAGAGGGTTCAGGTGCGATATCACGCTACAGTAATGTCACCGCCGAAGAAGAAGAAACGTTTCGTAGCATGGCGGCTTCCCCTGATATATATGAACGTTTATCTAAATCTTTGGCTCCGAGCATATTTGGTTCAGAGGATATAAAGAAAGCAATTACTTGCATGTTGTTTGGAGGCTCAAGGAAGCGATTACCTGATGGACTCTGCAGACGTGGAGATATAAACGTTTTACTACTAGGTGATCCTGGTACTGCAAAGTCACAACTATTAAAGTTTGTAGAAAAGGTGGCGCCTATTGGAGTATACACATCTGGAAAAGGGTCCAGCGCTGCAGGCTTAACGGCTTCAGTAATGAAAGATCCCGCGACGGTATGTGTTTTAAAGTATTAATTTTTATATATTATATTTTTACCTAATTCTATAAACGCCTTACCAATTTCATATTCCGCACAGAAAATAATACTCATTTACATAAAAGCCTCCACATCTTTTAGAATTTAGAATTAAAAAAAATAAGTTGATATTAGAAAATGGAGAAAACCTAAATTCAATATCACGCATATGTCGTTTATATTTGGGATGAGCTGGAGGTTTTATTTCATGTCATGATATGTTTGACGTTCCCTACCGAGAACCGACCGCAATTACATTAATTTGTTTTTTTTTTTTTATAATTTTGAATGTTGGTCGAACTTGGACTCGATCCCTAGTCTTCGGAATGGCAATTCGTTGATTTTTTTCTGGTTAGCACGATTTCAAATAAAAATTACTGCAGATTTAAAGATGGCGACAGCAATAGCCGAGTGGTTGATTTTGTGCACTGCTATTCCGAAGACCAGAGTTCAAGGCCTATTTTGAATGCATTTCCATCCATTACTTTTGAACCTCATTGCATTAAACAAGTGCAACACTATACGTTTCACAGAATTAAAAAAAGGAATCCTGTTAAATTGAAGATAGCTTAAAGTGAGTTCGAATTTTTGATTAAAACTGGTGTTTGTCAAACTCGAATACAGCAAAACCAAAATGAAGATCTTCTGGTGATTATTGAAGGTTATTTATCGCGCATTGATATCTATTACTATCTATCTATCTATGAATTAAATATTGATTTAAAAGATACAAAAATTAATCTACTTCCTACATATCATCATATACCAATGGCTGAGAAATATATACATAAACAGCAATAACCACTGCTATCGAAATGTTTCCATGTTCTCAATGATCTATTAATGAAGTATTTTCTAGATTAGATTTCCTATTTGTTCATGAATGAATATTAACATATTGAACACTAAAAATCTGTACTAAAATACTTGAAAATTACAGTTTAGATATTCAACATGCTAAATATGTTTTAAGAACAAATAAATTAAATTTTCTTTGCTATGAAATTTCAAGTGAGGTTTCAGTTTTTCTTCAGAACTTATTGAAACAATTTAAAAATTTGATTAGGTATGGTAAATTATTATCATAGGTATAGCAGCAGACTTAAGTCCTCTGCATAAAATGCTAACGTTTACAATTAATAATAAACTAAAGAGTACTAGATCTCTATAATACTATCAAATCCTCCAAAAGACATATTTATCTTTGGTATTTGAGTTTTCGTACTTAGAACTTAAGTTTTTTGACAGCTAATTCAAGATGATGTCTAATAATTTCTTTAAGCATATTAATAATACTTTGATGTGACAAAGAATGAGTTTTTTTCAAAAATAATTTGTCTCATAGAATTAAGAGCATATGGTCCAAAAGATTATTGTAAACGTCACAATATTGAGGCTTAGAATGGGTGTACTTATTTCTTTTAAAAACTATTGGTATTTCGATCCGTATTAATATTTATTAAAATTGAATTAATATCCAAGATATGAGAAAAGGTGTCAGCAATTTTATTATCGTTTACATAAATGTATATAATATCGTTAACTGATTTACATGCCCTCTGCATTTTTCATGAATCCTTGATCTTATATAAAAATTCGGCTAGATTTGACATAAAATAGGAATTGTAAAATAGGCTCTAGATAAGCAGGTTTTGATGCTAGGGCGGCGGTCGCATTTATAATTAATATATGCAAGGTACCGCAAAATCAGCCCTCTAAATATTTCCACAAAGTCATGAAATCGATGTTGTGTTCTTATCGGAAGGTGGTTCAATATTCACATATTTCCTGCAAAATATATATCCATATAATAAACGCGGTAGGGAGGTTCGGCTTACTTCATTAATATTCGAATTTTCGTAGGGTATTTAGTTGAAGCTTAGTTAGCAATACAGAATCTTAAGATGAACAAAAAGGTCTAAGCAATCCACATAACGTGTGGATGAGTTTGCTAGTATACCATAAATCTGTTTATTGTAAGTTAGAATTAATCTAATATATAGATGAGTTTGAATATATCACTCATACAAATCCTTAATATTCTTTCTAATAGCGGAACTTTATAATGGAAGGTGGAGCCATGGTACTTGCAGATGGCGGTGTTGTATGTATTGACGAATTCGACAAAATGCGAGAAGATGATCGCGTGGCAATACATGAAGCAATGGAACAGCAGACGATTTCTATAGCAAAGGCGGGTATTACAACGACTCTTAACTCGCGTTGCTCTGTTTTGGCTGCAGCAAACTCTATATTTGGTCGTTGGGATGAAACAAAAGGAGAAGAAAATATTGACTTTATGCCAACGATATTATCACGTTTTGATATGATCTTCATTGTGAAAGATGTGCATGATGAATCTCGGGATATTACTATGGCAAAACATATAATCAATGTTCATTTATCGTCCAATAAAAACACTCCTTTAGAGCGTGCTGAAGGAGAGATTTCATTAGCTACGTTCAAAAAATACATTCATTATTGTCGGACCCATTGTGGTCCTCGATTAAGTGAAGAAGCTGGCGAAAAGCTCAAAAGTCGGTATGTCCTCATGCGTAGTGGTGCCGGTCAACAAGAAAAATCTGCGGACAAAAGGTTAAGCATTCCTATTACCGTACGTCAGTTGGAAGCGATTATACGTATATCTGAGTCTTTGGCTAAAATGCGACTTTTGCCATTTGCAACCGATGAGCACATAAATGAAGCGTTAAGATTATTTCAAGTTTCAACTTTGGATGCCGCAATGACGGGTAGCTTGGCAGGAGTGGAAGGATTTGCAACAGAAGAAGATCAGGAAATATTAAATCGTATTGAAAAGCAATTAAAGCGACGATTTGCTATTGGTTCTCAAGTTTCTGAGCAAAATGTAGTTCAGGTATGATTTATTATAGGCTACATCTTTTTGAAAACTTAAATAATTATTTTGCTTCTGCAGGACTTTCTTCGGCAGAAGTACGAGGAACGGGCTATACTAAAAGTAATACACACAATGATACGTCGGGGTGAATTGCAACATCGTATGCAGCGCAAAATGTTGTACCGTTTATGCTGAAATTATTATGTTTTCTTAATAAAGATGTTTTTTTATTCATATAAAAATAATTTTTATGTATACATAGAAGTTTTATTTAATACCTAACCTGTTAGGCATGGCAAAAAGTCAAACATTTAAATGCTGTCTGGATGTCTAATGGAACTTCCAATTTAATGAAGGGCAAAATTTTCATTCGAACTGCAATTTGATTTCGATAGCGGTTCAAGGTATGAGAAAATGTTGAAAACGGCTGTTTTGTAAGTAATACCAGTGATATTAGCCAGTAACAAAATGTCAATGTTGCAAATTTTACTGGCTTTTTCCTGTTGTTGTTGTGGTGGCGGTACTTCAACCCCGCTTAGGAACAGGCTAGTTAGTCTAAACCTTGTGGGAGGTCCAGCAGCGGGCTGTTTCGATAGGGGGTTATATAAATCGGTTTTAGTTGGCATGCAAAGAGGTGGTTAGTGTCATGCGGGGACTCGTTACATGCCGGACATACGTTAGGTATGTCGGGGTCAAATCTGGATAGGAATGAGTTAAGCCTGCTACAATATCCAGACCTAAGTTGAGGCAGTACTACGCTTGAAGCTTGTAGCTTCATCAACTGTGTCTGGCTTGTGCTCGGTGCCTAGATCGGTACCGCTTAGTTTACGACCGGCTGGCCAATTGCTTTGTACGTTGTGCAGACTGTCGAATGTGACTCCCAGTAACTTTGGTTGTTTATAGTCGGAATTATAACGCCGTCGACTTTCCCACCGAGTTTGAGCCTGTACCGTTTCATCCAGCTGGTGAAGAGGGTAGCTGAGGAGCAATATCGGGATATCATCGTCTTATGAGATCAGGAAAACCAATTCTGCTGGAGGAGGGAGCTTCGAATGTGACTCCCAGGAACTTTGGTTGTTTATAGTCGGAATTATGACGCTGACGACACTTTCCCACCGAGTTTGAGCCTGTATCGTTTCATCCAGCTGGTGAAGAGGGTAGCTGAGGAGCAATACCGGGAAATCATCGTCTTATCGAGGTCAGGAAACCCCTTCTGCTGGAGGAGGGAGCTTCGAGATGCATAAGGTAAACAGTAATTGGGAGAGGACACCACCCAGCGGAACTCTTTGCTTAATTTTGCTTGGCTTCAATGCTTAACTTCGATATTCCTCCGATGATTGACGACGACTCAGGTAGAGCTGGCGGCATGGAACACTCCTTACGTGTCTAAGCAGACCTTAAAATGACTCCAGTCATTGCACTGGTTGCATCTAACCGAAATAGATGAGTCGTGGAGTCTTTTATAGCAAATTCAGCGAAAATAATTCGTCTTATGAGATCAGGAAAACCCCCACGGCGAACACACTAAATGTAAGTATTTTCAGTTTTGTCGTAGTTTTAGTCTATATCACTTAACGGGCCGTGCGGGAAACGGAGGGGGTGCTAAATGTGTTTGTTGGAGAGGGTATGCAAAGAGGTGGCTAGCGCCATGTGAGCCTCATTGTATGCAGGACATATGTTGAGTATATTGGGGTTAAGATTGGATAGGTATTAAATAAGCCGACGTGTTCCGAGCGCACCGTTCACAAGAAGATAATTTCCAAAAGCGTTGACGGACTCTGTGAATGGTGTCTAGGGTCTGCCGGTATGCCGTATACTCCAGAGGCTCGGTTGTGTGATGCAGAATAGAGTCATTTAAGTCGTGGACTCTCTTCCTGATTGGGTAGTCCTGGAATGGTCCTAGCAATCACTCATAGAGAAGTATGGTATAATGTGTGGTCTACAGTGTGACAGTCCGAGGTTGCTGGCATATAAGGTTTATATGTTTTAGTATATTGACCATCCGAATGCTTTGTAAATATTATAGAACTCATAATATTATTAGTGAAACCTCATAGAACGGCTATCTGTTATTGCAAACGTTTAGATTTTTTGACCAATTTCGGCCATAGGGTTCCTTTTCTTATATGTAAGTTCGTTTGCCGTGCATTAGCTTGGACTATTCCTCTGTTCACGTATCCAGACCACGGTAGTATTGCATTTAGCCGAGAATTTGTTCATATTGCTACTTCTTATAGCCATTTTTGATGTTGTACTCTTACCCTGAAGAGATCTGATGGCTACTTGACTATCGGAATATATCGTAATTGAAAGTTCTGCTAACGTAGATTTGAGCAGCCACTCGGCGGCTTCCATGAATGCAAACAGTTCTACTTGGAAGACGTTGCAGTGGCCTTTTTATCATACAAACAACAAGGCCTCGTAGTTCATTTAATAAAAATTAATATATAGCATGGCCGCAAAAACAAATTATAAAACATACAAGTTGAACCTGATACCTTAATCCTCATCATTTCAGTCAACGCCTAAAAGTATAGAGGATTCCAACACAACACACTAACCAAGCTGTTAAGAAAATAGCGGCTAAATTAGCGCACTTAATAGTTGTTGGTTAATAATGAATTGAATAATACAACAACAGATTATATGACTGATGTTGGCGCAGTGGTAGAACACTCGCCTGTTAAGTCAGGATCCTTTGGTTCGATCCCTGCCATAAAAAGTCTGATGAGGAGATGGGGTGATCTCCGAAACAGCTGCCATTTCTACCATTTTTTCTTTGTTGTATAACAAATATTCAATTCATACAAACAACAAGGCCTCGTAGCTCACTTAATAAAAATTATTTTATTTTTGGTTTTTCTGTTTTTCTCACTTTTGTTTCAAATTGTTGGTTCAGCTCAACAAAAGCGGTTTCTTTGAACTTGCCACGATTTTGATAATTGTTTCTCTGAAAGCAAAAACAAAATACAGGGTAATTGTTGTATTGGTTCTCCCGCTCTCACCTTTATGAATTAGTCTTGAGAGACACCAAAAAAAATTTTTATTCAAAAATCATATACGAAAATGAACATCTACACACTTGTCATATGGTACCAATTCGTTTATAAGGTCTAAACAAATTTTTTGTTCAGGCGAAAATGCTGAATGAAAACGCCATCTTCCAAATTAAAAGGGTAATTTTTCTCTGGCAAAATTCTAAACATGCGCCTTGCACTTTTTTCTTCATCTTCAATGAATTCCAGGCCTAAAATATGCCTACACATTTTGGTTTTTTATTTTTTCTCAAATTAACAACACAAAGTCAGGCAGAATATTGTTTGTTACCTCCTACTTCGCGGGTAACAACTCAGAATACGGAATAGTAACAAAGTTTACTGAATGATAAATATACCTGTAAAAGGTAGTTGCCCTGCCAAGTGTTGAATAACATAAAACTGAGTCGAAGGGTGAGTCCTCGGTCACCAAATATGAATGGTACCAATAATTTCCATATTGTTTTGCTTAAAAGGGAAACAAAGATGAGGTGAAAATGCAAGGATACTACGAAAAACATTGTCTACACATCTTTACGTTTTTATCAACAAATAATAAAAATTATTGCTCTTACCAGCTGAAGAGCACAAAACGCCCGATCGCACTTCCAAACAACGGTTGGTAAAAGAAGATCTAGGAAAGTAAGGGATTTGATGCTAGGGCGGTAATACATAATCATAATTGAAAGAAATAAAGTATAGCAAACCATGTTTACAATTTCTACCTACGGGTTAGGGGCTCAAGAATTTACCCGCGAAAGAATTTACCCGCTTTTCGTAAGAGGCGACTAAAATCCAATAGTTCCCGCGACAGTCGGGTCTTTATACCGGAACGGAACGATGAAGCCCATCCAATTCACAACATAAAATATCTCTCTACACCGCTGAGTTATGGTAGCCCCAAAATTATTTCTTCTCGGACATGAATTTATTTTATGCTCATCCCGGAATCACCTCAATAATAAATGTAATTTTTATATACTTAACGGTCACAGTCCCGTCTAGTGGACCAGAACCCTTCTACCAAATAGGTCCTTATACAACTAAAGAGAAGCTAGGAAATGAGAAATTAACGACAAAAAAGCTTATGAACGAATACGATACCAGAAGCTTTTGAGACATAATATTACTTAGTAATAAGAATAAATAATTTGTGGCAAAAAAAGAAACAAAGATTTACTGTTTGAATGCGAAGCTGTTGCTAGAAGAAGATTGAGACATCTATGAGGCATTCAGCCGGAGCAAAATCACATTAAATCAATTAATCTCTGTCCTGTTTGAAAAAATGAGGGCACAATAGGGCATGAGTAACTGTAAATAGGTTTGATTTTATATCGCTAAGACAACACAATTACTGATCGACAGACCCAATGAAATGACCTGAGCTGATTGACTTCACCAAAAACGTATATAGGAACTTAGTATTGCTGCAACCAATAAAGACATTCTCAGATCACTCCCCAGTAGTTATAAAATTGAATAAAAAGTTAGTTGAACGTCAGTATACTATATATAATTACACCGCAGCAGACAACGAAGCTTAAGGCCGGAACGCTGATAGCCCGATGTAAAAAAAACCTACTTAAGATGGCAGGATCATATCACACAAAAAATGCCATAGCCATATTAAAGCTATCCATATATATCAACGAATTCCCAGGTAATTATGATAATCAAACCAGGAAAAGACCCAACCATGCCGTCATCATATAGATTATTTAGCCTCTTGCGTTTCCAAATTCTTCGAAAGATTGCTGCTACTTCTCCCTTCCTCATACATTCGTAACAATTTAGTTTGCGAGAAGAACAAGACAAATGTGGAACCTGCATATGACAAGGTGTGGCATGATGGTTTAATTCATAAAATTAGTTAATTACTACTCAATAAGTTCCCCAAAATACTTGAAACCTACTTATCCAGGCGATTTACTTTAGAAGCAAATATATAATAGAGGTATGTCTAAACGCTCCAGGTATTCCGTAAAGTAATTTTTTTTAACATTATTATACATACTGTTCACCGCCATTTCAACAGGTGACAACGTAATCACAACAACACCTCAAAGTAATTGAAGAATGTTGTTGGCCTTTTAAAGTTAATTGAAATGATTAGAAACACAAACAAACACATTTAAGCTCCGTGCCTTATTGCCAATCTAACAAAATCTCACATCATGGCATTCACTTGGATAGACGTTTAATTTGGAGGC